AATATTTTCATATAGATATATAGTTTAAGTAATGAAGATATCCGAGCCTTTGTAGCACTATAATCACAAAATAAAAAACATCGTTATTTATTTCTTTTATATACCTACAATTAATATGTGATGCGTATCTTATTTGTATTAAGTTATTTTCGCGCACACAATTCAATAAAAACTTTTAGCTCACTAGTGTCCTTTAAATACCCTGGCCAAAACGCGCACATGAACACTCGCCGAGCGCAAATGCGGTGCCGATGGATGTGTAGAAATGGTATATAGACTCTCACTTTCCTACAACGCACACACATCCACCACAAAATATAGATGGTTAATAACATTTCTAAGGCATACTATTCTAATGATAGGATAGGAAACCATGATCAGTTATGTTATGTGCTAAACAAAAATCTAACATGTAATAAGAATACTGAAACTTCTTATTAGATTTTGTTATCATTAAAAAAATGAATGTTTGAGTCAAAAGGAAGTTTGTATAAGATGAGTGGAGGGAGTATACAATTACATTACTTTGATACAGCCAGCTGATATATTCATCACTTATTTAGAGATTCAACCATAATAAATTATACATTATGTTGTTTTACTGATTTAATGCATTTTTTAAGCATAATTAAAAATATTTTATAATTCTGCACTCCTCAAAAAAATTTTAGATTTTTCATTTTACAAATATTTTTAAAAATCATGTTAATAAATCTTGGATTTATGAAAACTTTTTAGTTACAGCATTTGTAGGATATTCTAAATATTGGTTGTTCTTATTATATGCTCTTGCCCTGAGGTCTTATCTTTTTCATTATCTTTTTTATTATCAAATAAATTATGATTACAGGAAATGCAGTTGTGGAAGATAGTTTCCTTAATTTTTTTAATAAGTAACCAGTTACATATGACAGTTTGGCGAATATTCTGGGGTCCTGTTTATTGTTTCATAATCTACTAATATTGCTTCTTCTATATAATTTAAATTAGGGATGTGCTGTTTGTTTCTTATATTTAAAATAAATTATTCATTGAGTTAAACATAATTTTTGCAGCCATCATCTTAACACTTTGATCCAGGCGAATGCCTCCCAGTTAAATTACCCAATAAAAGGCATGCAAACGGTTTTTCAAAGCCTGCTGGTGATGGACTACTATTTCGATGCCCATGACTTCTTATGGCTAGAAAAATTCTTCAAGAGGGTCTTGGTTGAAATGCCTCATCCCATCCATATTGATTTACCATTATATTTATTAAACAAGACATCCCTTAAATATTCAACATTATTCACAGTATATGTATTCACACTTTTATTTCTTTTCAATTTCTTAATAAATTTCTTTATTATATTATATAATTATTATATTACATAATTATTATGTTATACAGCGTGTCGTTACCATCGCGACAATAAATGAACACAGGTCTAACGCTACTTGCCAATAATCATAAAAAAATATTAACGTTAAACAAAATCCATAATTAAAAAAATATATTTTTCAAACAAAGTAATTAAGTAAAAAATAAACAATATTTGTAACATCCTATACAACTCGCGCGACAGCGTCGCATTACAAGCCTCTCCTTCTAACAGTATGTTTTGTCTCTTTTAAATTCATTCAACCCATTCCTATGCTTTGTGACCCTTACAAATGAACTTTACGTTACAGTTTTATACGTTAGGGTGTTCTAAAATTGTTTGTTTTGGAAAATTTAATGACTCGGTAAATATTGATGTTTAAAGAATGTCAATTTTTAAAACAATTTTAAAAAGTTATCCTCTGTATGTGTATTCATTTATTGTCGTGATTATAAAGACATGCTGTATTATATAAGTACTTTTTTTGGTCTTTCCCACACTATATTGTGGGTGGGTTTTAGTTTGAGAGGACGTACTAGTAGCTTTCCAGGTTTCAAATTTTCCAGACTTCCACTGAGGAGTCTAATATGTCTGCAGTTTCTTGAGATTCACCTGGCGAAATGTTGCTGAAAAAAATGATATTTATCAGCCCTGCCACTATAACACTCAGATACATGTGAATTAGAACAGGTTTTAGAATTATAATTAATTTTTATAAATCAATATAAAAACAAAAATGTATCCTAAGTAGACATATTTTAGGTATGTATTGTAGGTAGTACTTAATTTTATTATTGTACACTTCAACTTAGTAGTTTATATTTTTATTTTCTTTTGTTCCTTCTTCTTTCCTTTTATCAATGAATATGCCAATGAAAACTGTTAATTCTCAAACACTGTTAGTTTTTATTCAACATAGTTAAACAAGCTAAGTTGATATTATAGTAACTCTGCATGATATAACAGTGTGAAAATATAATATACTATTCTATTTATAACATATAATACAGTATACATATGTATATATAATGTATACTGTATATATGTACTATGTGTATACAGTTTTTGATTTTGCTTGGTTTTTAAAAATATTTTAAGATATAAATGATTATAAAAAGTATTGTTTAATTATATTATATCTAATTTGAGTCATGAAACTTTCTACATATCAGAAGTACGAAGATCTGATATAGTAATCATACACAATTGCTACTAATTACACATTAAAAGAACTTAAAACATCACAAGACTGTTGCAAGCAGCTGATGCAAGAGCGTGAATAAAGTGAGGAGTAAATTCAGGTTGTGTAAGAAAAAACACTGAATTAAAATGTAAACTCCTTGCACTTCATAAAAGTTTTGGATGTAGTTGCACAGTGGGAGAAACTAAGCGAAATTGTGCAGTGCGTTCAACCAGTGCAGCAATGAGCATGAGAGGGCCTTAAATAAAATCGCGGAACTTGAAATTAATTTGAAAGAGGCAAATAACTCCATCCTTGAATTAGAACAAGTTAATACATCTTGTGATGCAAACCAAACCCAAAATCTGTATGCTGAGCTGGTGGAATGTAATTCTCAAATGTTTATAGACTTGACAAAAGACATCTCTTGGATCCAGCAACCTCACCTATATACATAAAATAAACTTAAGAAATAACACAAAAAAGAACTTAAGAAACACTTCAGCTTCTAACTGAAATTAATAATTTAAATATTACACTACAAATATTTACTACTAAATATGAATCATCTCAAAAAGAAATACAAGAACACATTAGCAGCTGATAATTTATTGGATCTTTGTAATTATAATTATAATAGATTCGAATCATTTACAAGTAAGAATACATGTTGTTGCTCCAAATCACAATCTCAAAACAATCACAAATTAAAAACTCAGAATGTATCTGTAGACAAAGGAAGTGACTTGGTCATACATGAATACAATCAGCCATCATATAATAACTATGAAAATAAAATACATACTAAACAAAATGTTACAATTGTATCAGATAGGTTTTGGTTCTCTAATTTCAAAACATATAAATAATGTATACAATATGTGTTCACCCGGTGCCAGTTTCCAGAATAATATAAATAAAATCTTGACATTAAATGAAAATAATACTATTGTATTACTTCGTGGGGATAGTTCATCTGTTAGGAAACAGGAAGCTTTCGACTGCGTAGACCATAAAACTCTCCTTCAAAAGCAAGATTATTATGGCATTCGTGACATCCCCCTCAATCTCATTGCCTCTTACCTAAGTAATATAATCAAAAAGGGTCGCCCATGAAATTGGTGTCCCACAAGGATCAATCTTGGGCATACTATTATTCTTAGTGTATATAAATGATCTCCCCTTTTATGCCAGTGAGTTATGTCATGTACTGTTTGCTGATGACACATCGCTCATTTTTAAGGTTGACCGAAATTTATCGAATTATGACGACGTGAATAGTGTACTTTCGCGTATCCTCCACTGGTTTACCATTAATAATATGGCGTTAAATCCTAAAAAAAAACTAAATGCCTTCTTTTTACCCTTACCAGCGTAAGAAGGCAAAGTTTTAGCTTAAAATTAAATAGCGTAACCCTTAATGGTGTTGGGTCTGCTTAATCGCTGTATTCTTGGGAATTACAGTGGATTCAAAGCTCCAATGGAGTCCCCATCTATCATCTCTTGCGAATAGGCTAAGCCCGCTGTTTTTGCGATTAGAAGAGTTAGGCAGCTATCAGACATCGACACTGCCAGACTTGTTTACTTCTGTTATTTTCGCAGCATCTTGTCGTACGGCATTTTTAAATTCTATATTTATCCTTAAAAAAAAATAGCTGTCTGAGCAATCTATAAACATCGGAGCCCGGAATACGCTTAGAGATTTTTTTAAAGAGATTAATATGCTCACTGACGCATCTCTATATATTTATTGTAATATTTTGTAAATTAAACATAATATTAATAATTATCTAAAGAGTAGTGACAGACATAAACTAAATACTAGAAATAAGGACAAACTATCTACGCCATTGTTTCATCTACAAAATGCAAACAGGTCGTACATGGGGCAAAGTGGGCGCATGTATAATAAAATTCCACAGTCGATATTAAGTCTGCCACTTGATGAATTTAAACGAAAAATTAAAAGTAAACTTATGGCTAAAGCATATTATACTATTGTGGAGTATCTTGACGACGCCAATCCACACGAGTTAATACTGTTGATACTCACGCAGGTTAAAACAAGACTATTATACCTGTACCATTTCATTATAAACTGACCTATTAAAAAAGAGCAACTGTTGAGTTTCTTGCCGGTTGCTCCTCAACAGAAACTGCTTTCTGAACCGGTGGTAACATACGGACGTATTAATTTCTTTGTAAAATTTTGACGTTTCATAAGAACTCGCAAGCGTCTATGTGTATAACGATATTTTATTACAGTGGGGATATTTATATGCTTTCTCGTCTGGTTGGGTTTATAAATAAAAATAAACATATAGATATAAATATTGTATACAGGGAGGCTTTTCTAAGTGTATCCATTTTAATAATTGCCATTTTAATAATTTTAATCACATGTAGTTTGCCCTCAGTGGCAGAACTTATATTTAGGTAAAATTTTTCACAGAGACGCAATGGCGGACAGACAATTCGTCGTGATCGAATTCTGCGGGGAGCTACCCCGGGGCGCGGATAAGTACGACTGCGTTCCGAATTCCTGGATAACGTCCAACGAGATTACGGAGAACACTTACATTTTTAACTATCTGCCCAAAAGGAAGTACGGGGTCGAGAGTGAGAATGCACAATTGCGCTGGGAAACCCGCTCGGCAAAAATTCTCCACAGTTTTGGTGAGTGACACAAATTCTTCAGGTTCTCGGAGAACTTAGAAGCTGTTACGAGGTATAGATGAGTGACATGAAAAACGAACCGAAAAGTGAATATAACGCAATATGCCATCATAAAACAATTACCCCTATAATATTTCGCCTTCAATTAAGACATGTTGGCTCACGAGATTTTTTAGCCAAACTGCATATCACTCAATCACCAAGATCGCTCACTTTGCAATTTTTTTTAAACATTGACCTTACTTTAGGATAAAATTGTCCTGTGTTGAATGGACGTTTTACAAACATAATTTTCACGTGAACAAACACTCAGATGCGAAACAACTATCTATGGATCACACAAATAATAGTACCGTGTGGGAATCGAGTTGCAAGTTTATTTGCCGTTAAAAATCAATTTTAATGGTCATCTGATTTATTAATATTTGGCGAGTGAGAAAACCGAGGCCAACTTTTCTAAAGGTTGGTGAATCAAATCAATAGGAATCTAAAAGTCCTCCGGTATTTTAGATTCCTATTTTTTTTTATGTGAAAAGTTGTCAAACGAGCAGACGGACCTGATGTTAAGTGAATACCGCCGTCCATAGACATCTGCTACACCCGAGGGTTTACAGATGCGTTGACAACCTTTTGAAAATTGGGCTCCGGTCACCTCACTCACCAGACGAAACGCGAAAGTATTATACTTTCGCGTTTCGTCTTCGGACGAGCCTGCCCATTCGTGCAACAGCCGAGGCTGCTGCGTGGCCCTACCACCGTTAAATTCCTATTGATTTGATTAAAAAAAAAAAAAAAATTGCCCTCACTTTAGAATAACATTATCCTGTGTTATAAGAGCCGTGATAGCTCAGTGTCCGGGCGCTCGCCTTAATTCAATGTATACTCGAGCAACCTGAGTTCGATCCCCGGTGCCGGCACCAATGAAGTTTTTAACTTTAAGTGCTGAATTATCACGTGCTCCGCGGTGAAGGAAAACATCGTGAGAAAACCTGTATATTTTCGGAATAATAACAAAAAAAAAATGTATTTCGAAAATATGTGAAGTCCGCCAATCCGCAGTGGGGCCGCGTGGTGGACTATGCCCTGATACCCTCTGTATAGAGGAGGCCTTTGCCCAGCAGTGGGACATGTATAGGCTGTTACTTTACTTTTTTTTTCTCTTTCATAAGGACGTTTTAAAAATATAAATTGCACGAGGACAAACACCCAGATGCGAAACAACTATCTGTGGGTCGCACAAATAGTTATCCCATGGGAATCGAACCCACGACCCCCGACTCCGAAGCCAATACCTTAGCAACAGCGCCACGGAGTCATCTGGTTGACGGTTACAACCATTTAAAATCGGGTGAACTCAGAAAGAAATCAAAATGTAGTTAGGCTCTGAATAAAGCTATTATGTCGCGAGTTCTGATCTTGGATCCAATTTTCTGTTGTCCTAAAAACAAATGTATTTCCGAAATATTTTCACTAACACTCACTCGATTAGGAGCTTAACAAGCTCATCCCTCGTGGGGATTAAATAAAAATGCTTATTAAAATATTACAGATTCAGAGAATGATGGGAAAAGGTACATGGATAACATAAGACGAGTTGCAGACTCAGAAAATAAGGAACAAATGAAGAATATACAAGGTATGGTGATCGTTTCATTGTAGTTGTTTCAACTAAGTCCGTGCTTAATTTCTATTAAGTCTAATAAGGGATGAAAGCGCTATCATGAACATAAAATAAATAAAAAAGCATTTTTGAACACTGGGTAGAATTGCATATAGTCTTTATATATAAATGAGGAATTGGCGTGCATATCTTCGGATCTCTGTTATTATCTGGATAATTTCTGGAGTTCATTTTGTTTTTCTTCGTCATCGAACATTTTGTAGAGCACTTAAAATTGCAATAAAAAATTTCATTTGTGTCGGCACTGGAAATTGAACTTGCTAGAGTTGAGAGAGTTGCTAGAGTTTACTGAATTAATATGGAGCGTCTGGCCGCGGAACTACTACGGCTTTTACCCAGTAAACTAAAGAATTCCAATCATTCTTCATTGAATGTTTGCGTTATTCATTTGCCTCGTTTATTAATTTTAAGATTATTATATCCCTCCTTATTAAATTAACTATATTTAACGTATTCTTGTAGCGACATCGACGCCGTTTAAAAAAAGATTTCTTACGACAAAGGACCAATCTGCTTTGCCTGACAATCTCAATGGAGCACTTCGATCGGTTGCAGACGTAAATCGGAAACATGAGAGATCTATTTCTGCAAATGCAGACCCCTCTATAAACACCAGAGTAGAGCAAGGAAGCAATAATAATAATAATCGTAAACGAAAAAAAAGCGACGATCTTGTCACACCGAAAAAGCAAATAAACAAAGGAGAAAAAGCGAAAACTATTAGTACCAATCAATGTGATACTACAACAGTTGTGCAAGGAAGCATAGGACGATCAAACAGACAATCCGCCACGAATAAGGCGGAGGTCACGGAACACACCGTCAACGCTCAATTATTAACTCAACTTCATCGATTTTTATTGCCACAACTGCGCGAGAATTTGGAAAGAGACCTGAATTTATTAGAGGAACACTTGTCGGTAGGGGATCAAATTAATAGTCTGTGGTCAGAGATAACAAAGGAATTCAACATTGGCCAATGATATTTCAGTTGTGCTTCCAGACGAATTTCAGTAGATTTACAGTAATTTTGAGTTTTCCACAGTTTTTCAGTAAAGAATATACAGTGTGTGGATGTACTGTGTTAATTTCACAGGAATTAAAATCGATCATAAAACGAAACATAGCAAAAAGAACTACTTGGTGACTCCGTGGCGCAGTTGCCAAGGTATTGGCTGCGGCATCGGGGGACGTAGGTTCTATCCCCATACGGAACAACTATTTGTGTGACCCATTGATAGTTGTTTCGCATCTGGGTGTTTATCCACGTGCAATTTATTTTTGTAAAACGTTCTTACATACAACACAGTATAATGTTATACTAAAGTGAGACAATGTTCTAAAGTTAAAAAAAAGAAAGTACTTGCTCCATGGGAGGGAAATCCCCGATGAATCAGTTGCTACTCCAATTTGAGTAGAATTATTATATCATGTATTTTTATATTATATATTTTTAACTGTGAAATTATATTATTTTCATTTGTTATAAATCCTGTCCAAATTTGTCTCTATCCATGTGCTCAAGAAGCGAGGAAAGTGATTTTCACACTTTTGGCCCAGACGGCACATTTAAATATTTATTTGTATGGGTCTCCTTTCTATACACAGTATGGCTCAAGGTCTTGTCAAGATTTCGGATGAATAATACATCTAGAAAGGCTAAGGAGTTACATGTCTCTAATTACATAGTGATTTTAATTTTCGTGTGCAAGGAATTGAGGTTGTTCAGAAATGCATTTACTTTGTCTGATGGTAAAATTGTGAAAGTATCATCTACATACCGCTTGTAAAATCTAGGTTGAACAGGAGCTGTTTGAAGGGCTTGCTCCTAAAGGTCTAAGCCTTCCATAAATATGTCAGCAACAATGGGAGACACTGGGCAGCTCATTGCTACACCATCAAAATGTATGTAGAATTCTTCCTTCCACAACAGACCTCACAGAAGACCGGCGTGAAGTGGCTGTGGAAGTTTAACACTTTAGTGTTTTGCCTAACGAGTGAGCCGGGGCCCACTTTATTTTAAACGCGTGATGGAAACGCATCTGCAATCCCGCGGGTGTTGCAAATATCTATGGGCGGCGGAGTACACTCTAACATCAGGTGAACCGCCAGCTCCTTTGCTACCTTAATAAAGGAGATATTTAAGAATTTAGATAAAAAAATAAATAAGAATAATGATAAAACAAAATAAATACTCTTCAGAGGACTCGGCACCACCACGATCTCTTCCTCGACCTTTTGAACGAAAACGCCCGTAACTTTCTTCGACGTTTCTTTCACTAAAATTAATGTTTACAAACCCTTTTAATTCAATGAATATTTAGATCTTTTAGTAATCCGTACAAACTTTTGGGTACCTTGGTTCCCTAGTGGCGATGTACATATTATTTTTAAACACGATTTTTTAATATTATAGGTAAAGGCAAAAATTATCTGATAAAATAAACCATTTCATTCAAAATGGTCATAAACATTAAATATAATATACTTAATTCATTTGAAATTTTGTTAACATATTGTTAAGAATAAAATGAAAACAATATTAAAAAATAAAATTAGAAAACATCAAATATTCAAATCAGACACAATAGGCCTGGCCTGACGTCGTCCAAAGCTGCACAGCGCCGTAAAAAAATATTTTATTTTTTTAAATAAGTAGTTTTGTGTAGTTTTATTCGAAAATGTGAATAAAATTTAACTCCTAAAAAATATTCTCGTATACATTTACCTTCCAAATAACTTCCATTCCACTTTTATTATTCCTAAATTTAGGAAGAAAATTCCTAAGTTGACACCCCTGTATCCAAATAACGTTCAAGAGTTTAAATTAAAAATAGCCCATATTATACAATTTTAATTTCTAAAATTTGTTTTATAGTCACTACAAATATCTATAAATAGTTAGTAGTTAATGTAAAATAACATGGTTATCATATTAAAATGGTAAGAAACTATAGCAAAACGTGGGAATAGATTAAAAAAGGTTAAGTATTTATATTTCTTTCTTTTTTTGGCTTTATACCCAAAGAGGATTTTGTGGATTGTTGCTGAATAAATATCATTTATGTACACATGTGAATGCTGAAGCCATAATTGCATATACATCCTATATATAAAAGTAGACACAAGAAAAGCAATTTAAAATATGTAATATTGTTATTATACTTTTATTCAAGAATATCCCAATGAAATATCTATACAGTGCACTTACAATATTATGACACATATAAAATATTTAAACCGCTATTAACCTATATACAATTTAATACATGTATACATATGAAAACAATCACAAATAATTGAATCTGCTCAGAAATCCTTATTGAATTTATAATTATTAATGGCCACAGACAATGGTTGAGTCATGCATAATATGTAACATTATAGTGAGTAAATCATGGCTAGCAATTGAAATGTGAGTATTATTTATTTTATATATACCATTACACTTTTCTAATATGCTTGAAAAAGTAAACTTCTACACAATATAAGAATCCATGTAAAATAAGCTTTACAGGTTAAAACTAACTTTGAGCTTAACTTAGCCTATTATATAATCAAAAGTATTAATACCTGATCTAGCACTAATTCAGACAGTATCAAGATGCAAAAACATGCATATAATATATGCACCCTAACAAATAAAACTAATAATGTAAAATAACCAGCAGTCGGCAGCCTATTAAAATATATTAATATCTGCAAAAATCATTTATAGGAAAAAACAAACAATACTAATATAAATAGCGATACCAAAATCTTGAAAAAATTACTCTTCAATATTTATAGCAAATTTTGTTTTTAACACATTTTTATTTTGATACACATTTTACAAACAAATTGATATGTTAAACTTGATGAAATAATAATAATTTTGCCAAGCACTGGATTCCAACATTATCATATGACTAAGATATTTGGTACTATAGTATCATTTTGGCTATTGGTTTCTATTTTCTGAAGCCTATCTATATATCAGCACAAAATGGGAAGCCACTTCTAACCACTTGCGCCACAATACTAATATAATTTAAAAACCCCCATTAAAAATTAATAGAGATAAGCACTATAAAAAAATTAAATTTTTAATTTCTTACATATTTTATGTCCATACTAGTTGTGTAGAAAAGTAGTTATTTAATTTTTTATTCAACATCTTAGTAGGATTTTGCCCACTAGGAAATCTAGATCAGTTAAAAATGGCAGTCCAAAGATATACTAGCCTATATGAGATTATTATATTCTAGGCTATGAACAAAAAACATTTATATTACTTTACATGGTATAAACCCTAATTCCATAAATATAACATGGAACATTTCTAATAATACTTAATTATCGAAAAAATATTGAGTCTTTTAAAGGAATGGTTTTATGGTACACAATTGGTAAATGATGCGTGTATTTATTATTATCATCTGTCATGTACATATAAAAAAATATTGCACCACATTATTTATCCTTTGCATAGTGCAAAATGTTTAAAAAATCTCAAATAAGAAATGAACATTTGAGCAAATGCTTACTATTAAATTTTGTAACATTTTGCAACATACAGCATATTTTCAGAATATAATTGAGAAAATCTCGAGTACACTATTTTAATTTGCCATCCGTCTTAAATAGAGTTCAAAATTTAATTGTTATAATGGCATTTTTAACAGATAATTTGTAAAGTTCGATATAACACCATATAACTTTATCTACTTAAAAACATGGAGCACTCAAAATCTTATAACAAGTAGAATTAAAACATCTATTGACTGGTACAAATATGTGATACATTAGAACACAATATTCAAAAACTTGATAGACAATTTATTTTTATTTGATCTTACTAGATTTTTGTATGCCCAAGGTGTCTATATCACAAACAAAAATAGCCCTACCTACAGTTTTGTTATAGAACATGACTGTACAATGTTATTGATATCATCATTTATAAACACATGGAAAACAATCCCATATTAATTTCATTATCCGATAGTTTATGTACACAATATGGAATTCATCTACTATTACTGTCATTAACATTACATAATTCAAAATTACACATCAACTTCAAGCAAGGTCACATATCCTTAACTTATATTTGAATAAAGGAGTAATAAAAAGTACCACTATATTTGATACTATTAAAGACAGTTTAATACTGTCAACAGTAGCACCTGGCATGGCTCTTAACAGCTGTCATTTGGCTTTTGACAGCTGTCGCTTATACACATTACAGCAGAGATATGATATGGTTACTTGCGAATATACAAATAAGAATAGCGGTAAGTTGGTGGAAAACACTTTCATCAAACACAATTAAATGAGCACAAACAATGACGTATGAATAATAAAATAGTGCCAGAGTATAATCGAATGACATTATGAGACAATAAAATGGGTAATGATTGAGGGAGACTGCGATATACAATTACACGAATCCACAAACACCTTTAGAACTTTTTGCACACAGTTTGGGAGTTACGTACACTGATCACCACAATCAACGGGTTTAAACTGGAGGGTTACTATTGTATTGACAGTTATCACAATCACTTGGGGGTCTCTGAGGATTGAAAGTGGTCCGGTGAGACCAGGGTAGGAGTGAATCATACTTATTGTAGCAGGTAATAAAAGGTATCTTGAGATAACAGACCTGTACCTGTTATGAACAAACTTAAATGACAAAAAAACATTTCTCAAAATAAGTTACTTAATGCTCCCTACAGGGTTTTATTTATTCATGCTTACAACTGTAACCTTAGTTGGAAAGAGATAAAAAATTTTACACCTTGCCAAAGATGTTACTGAACATTCTTCCATAGGTGTTTCGTTAAAAAGAGAAGTATGAACCATGCAGCAATTATAGTTTCTTTAATGTTATTAATGTTACTGCAATTGGATATATACACACAAATAACTAATCAAAACAGCCGTTACAGTATATTGGTTGCTCTATGATAACAATTACATTAATTGTTTTTTAAAGCATAGTATGCAATAACAGGCTGTTACTTTGTAGTAGTGCAGATATTTGTCACTGTTATGGCCAAGTAAGAGATACTCGCTTTTACCTAGTATAGCTTCCTTCTAGTCTAGGGGTCTCATGTTCAATAGGCTTGCACTACACACTGATCACAATCACATGGGGGACTTTAGGGTGTTTAAATTTCCTCTTTGTGTTAGGACCTCTTTCGGTTTAAAAGAGGTCTGTTGGCTCTAGGGGTCTCGAGCACGTTCAATGGGTTCGCACTAGAGGTCACTGCGCACTGATGGTTATCATAATCACTTGGGATTCTTTGGGGCGTTTGTAAGAGGTCTCTCCGCTCCAGAGGTCTTGAGCATGTTCAATAGGCTTGCACTACACACTGATCACAATCACATGGGTGGTTCTTTAGGGCGTTTGGATTTCCTCGGTTTGTTTGAAAGAGGTCTTTTGGTTCTAGGGGCACATTCAAAGGGCTTGCACTATGGGTCACACTGATCGTTATCACATTCACTTGAGGGTCTTTGGGCACTCTGTTCGGACCTCTTTCGGTTTGAAAGAGTCCAGTACGGAGCCCTAGAGCGCGCGGGCGCTAGAAGTGCAACGCGGCGGAGCCCTGCGGCGGGCATGGCTACAGCAGGGCCCGCCTCGACTCGTCGCGATAAGCGCCCGCGTGGCCCCTATTTCATGTTTGCCATCTGGAAATCACAGAGGGTTAATTAAGAATACTGTTCCTTAAGAGCCGTGATAGCTCAGTGTCCGAGCGATCGCCTTTAATTCAATATACTCGAGCAATCTGAGTTCGATCACCGGTGCCGGCACCAATGAAGTTTGTAACTTTTAAGTGCTAACTTATCACGTGCTTCGCGGTGAAGGAAAAAATCGTGAGGAAACCAGCATATTTTCGAAATAATAACAAGAAAAATATATATATCGAAGATATGTGAAGTCCGCCAAACCGCAGGGGGGCCACGTGATTGACTATGCCCTGATACCCTCTGTATAGAGGAGGCCTTTGCCCAGCAGTGGGACATGTATAGGCTGTTACTCTACTTTACTGTTCCTTATCATTATTTTATTAGGCCTCCCCCTAGAATCTTTATAAGTAGTGGACCCTCAGGCGTCCACTGGAGGCGTCTACGTTAGATCTAATCTTAACATTTTTCGGGAATATGGTATAAATGTAGCTACAATGTCTATGAGAAAGAGAGTCTTGGTGCATCTGAGTCTAGATGGACCGACACCATCGTAGGTCGCGGGCCCCGGCTACCAGTTGAAGCGCAGAAGTGTAACACTTCTACTTTACGCCGGTCCTCACCCGGACGGAACCCTGCCAGGAACATGACCCGATGTTAAACATGATGCATCGAATGTCCTCGCGTTTTGGTTTGCGATCGGATATCGTCGCTTTGTCGTGGGCCCACCTGGCCTTCTGCAACTCAATCTGCCCCTCCAGGGTCTTGGCGAGGTAAATGACGAACAGCTGGGACAGAGCGACGCCGAGGGCCGCCGACGCTATCATGTACAGGTTCCTCTCAGCCCACGAGCGGACAATCTCGATGCAGCCGCTCGTCCACACGCGTTTGCTAGCCTCCGCCACCTGTAAAGGAGTTTGAGCCACTTTAAGCCAGTCCTAAGGTTGCCAACTATTTTTCAGAAAAATAAAGCGTCTCATATTTCAGGTAGAGAAAAAAAAAAGTATTTGGAAGAAGAAAAAAAAAAAGTACTTTTTGAAAAAAAAAAAAAAAACGTTTTTGATACATCATATCATATAATATAAACTAACAGCAAGCAAACGCTTCTAATTAGAGAGCGCTCCGTTTTAACTTAGAAGTATCGATAAAAGCTCAGTAAAGTAAAGTACAGTGTAATTGTTTTATTTTATGCATCACAGTAAATATTTAAATAAAGTATTTTCACATTTTTATGCAAAATTATAAAGTTTAAATTAATTAAAAAATTAAAAAGTTATTAATTATCTTTACCAAAAATAATGTAAAATACTATATTGTAAAGTATGGTTGGCAGCCCTAGCCAGTACGTACTAGATCAAGCCGTTGTACCCCAATCGCACCTTTAGACAGCCAGCCAGCCAGCCAGCCAGCCAGCCAGCCAGCCAGCCAGCCAGCCAGCCAGCCAGCCAGTGGCGATCACAAAAACGGCGACCCACCGGCGAATTCTGCACGCCGTAGCCGCACATGATGTTGACCAGGCCCGAGGATATGTCCGTTGCGTTGATGCAGCACGAGAACGGCACCCCGCACCTCTCCACCGAGGGCGAGGAGCAGTTGAAGTACTCGTTCTTCGACCAGTCCATGTAGCCGTCGGAGGTGAGGCCGCAGCAGTGGAACTGCGTTGGGAGAGTGCATTTGATACTGCCCGAGTTGTTCCGACGCTTGGCGTATAGGGATGCGATGGAAAATAATCGATTTTCCATATTGATCGATTATCTTTGAGCTATTGCATAGCTTTATCGCGGGCTTTGAGCGCGGCGACCGAATCAAGAAATTCCGTAACGAAAATAAAACCTAACACCCCGCACTCCGCCTACCATGTAGCTCGGCCGAGCGTTCGCTTAACGTGTATGTATATGGTACGACTGTACGAAGGTCGCACGAAGATGGATATTTTAATATTATATTATCATATGATGAAAAGATATTAAGAGGATAACAAGTCTCAAACTTATGTTTCTTATTTCAGTTACCAGAAACCTATAGTTTCAATGATAAAAATTCCTGAATAACCTACATGTATTGTAAGATAATAAAAATATTTTTAACGATATTAACTTCTCATTTATTCAATAAAAGAAAAAAAATTGTTTTGTTATCGGTCACCACGCTCAAAAAAGTGTAACTTGAATTAATTTAAAAGAAAAATCTTTGAAACCTGATTTTAATTGAATACCGCCGCCCATGGACATCTGCTACACCCAAGGGTTTCAGATAACCTTTTGAAAATTGGGCTCCGGCCACCTCACTCACCAGACGAAACGCGAAAGTATTTGTAATACTTCCACTTTACGCCGGTCTTCTGTGAGGTCGTGGTACTTACCCGGACGGGCCTGCCCATTCGTGCAACAGCCAAGGCTGCCGCATGGCCCTACCACCCTAACTCGTTTTGTTAATATATGAACTGGGCGAACGCGCATTTTATATACAAGTCGTTACGTCATCAAAGTTACGAAGCTACGTAACTGACGGCCGCTCGTTGAATATGGGAACCGGGCATTAAGCGGTCACGGAGTGTCCACGTGAAATTCATGTTTGTAAAACGTCCTTACAACACAGGACAATGTTATCTTAAATTAAGGGCAATGTTTAAAAAAAAAAGAAAAAGAAAAGAAAAAAGCAAAAAAAAGAATCTTTTTTCTTTTTTTTCTCTAGGCACAAACGCCGCTCACGTCGCTCTGCGCGAAGTCTATGAAGTTCTGGAGGTCGGGATCGTCGCGGTACGCGTGGACCACCCTCTCCGTGAAGCTCTGCTCCAGTAGACCGTGCAGGCTGCGCGGGAAGACGAACCCACAGACGGCGCCCCCCATCTCGACCAGGAACAGGATCAGCAGGCAAAGCGAATACTGCAAACGGCGGCGGGGCAAAGGTGGCTTTTTGGACTCGGGACCGCACACCCCAAGTTTTTGGTCATAACTAAAAATCAGCGTTGCAGTTTCACTGCATCATTCCGCTGAGTGATGTCATGTTGTTTCGTAGTTTTTTTTAAAAAAATTTAAACTGTAACTAAATGTAACATAATTGTGTGCGGATTAAGTGACCGGTCAAATGTCTTACGTCTCTATGTCTCTTTGGCATGAACCGCGCCGTACCATAATGAAAGGGGAAACCATGCATGGTGGAGGTTTATGTTCATGTTTTTTTTTGTCTATTTTTAATTGTTTTAAATGATTGATGTGTACGTCAGTCTGTCTTATGTCAAATAAATCTCTTTCTTTCCTTCTTTCTTTGCGGTTACATAAAGCCGATTTGTCAGTTCTGAAGTCGATGGAAGCTGGTCCAGGAACAACGCGGCGGTCTATTGGGGAGGCGCGCGTTCAGCGGTGGAACTCAAACAGGCGAAAAGCCTCAAGCTAAAATCCATCAAGACGTTCAGGCTGCAGAGCGTGCCAAACAATTATACATACATACATACCCTCGAAAAACATAACCCTCCTTCTGGCGCAGTCAGGTAAAAAGAATAGGTGGCATAAAAGCAATAGGCTAATAAGTGTATCATCATAATGTCTGGTACGATGGTGGATTTCAAAATGGCGTTCGTCTGGCTATCGTATTCACTGGACGAAACTTTAATGTATTACCGTTACCCTAAACAGAGTGAGCATTTATGGCATATTTAAGGCCATGGACCATTAATGTGAAGAATTAGGCCATGATACTTCCTCGCACTTCCCGCCGTGATAGCTCAGTGACCGGACACTCGCTTCTAATTCAACATAATCGAGCATTCTAAATTCAAATTCCGGTGCCGGCACCAATGGAATTGTTGATTTTAAGTGCCGACTTATCACGTGCTCTGCCGTGAAGAAAAACACCGCGAGGAAACCTGCATATTCTCTAAATGACATGTGAAGTGTTTTATGTGAAAAGTTGCCAAATGAGCAGACGGTTCACCTGATGGTGAGTGAATACCGCCTCCCATGGATATCTGCTGCATCCGAGGGTTCCAGATGCGTTGACAACCTTTTCGATAATTGGGCTCCGGCCACCTCACTCACCAGACAGAAACGCGAAAGCATTACACTTCCAGTTTACGCCGGTCTTCTGCGAGGTCGTGGCACTTACCCGGACGAGCCCATTCGTGCAACGGCCGAGGCTGCTGCGTGGCCGTACCACCGTCGAAATACGCAACGGGTGAGTGTTTAAACGAAACTGCTTGGGCGACTCACGAATTTCAGCAGGCACGTGTTCTCCCGCAGCGCGCCCACGCAGCCGGCGAAGCTCACGATGAAAACGACGCCGCCCAAAAGCGCGATAAGTAGACTGATGTTCAGCATAACGTCGTATATCGTGTCCAGCTGGAATGAATCGTCCAAGGCTGTCGATCACGGTCAACTTTGTTTCCAAGAAAATACAAATACAAATTACTTTATATGCAAGAAAATACAAATACAAATTACTTTATTTCCAAGAAATTACAAATACAAATTACTTTATTTCCAAAAAAAATTCCTCATTTATGCCTTATGAACTGACATCCACGCTAGGCTGTTGGACTTTTAAACTGTTAAACTTGAGCGTTTAGTTTTTTATTTTGCAAAATGGAGAACGTGCCATAAAATGAAAAAAAAAAAAAGGTTTGTGTGCACTTGTGTTAACGTAAGAAGTTACACTTCTTCGGCGTAACAAAAGAAAAATAATTATTAAAATAACAATTTTTAACCCCTGTGCCAGGTACTCATTGTCTGTGAAAAATAGACGAATGGGAAAGAAAAGATGTTATTATACAAAAGCAAATGTAAAGAAACATAATGTAATAATTAAGCTGTTTAGTGTTACTTTTGTGTTGCAGTGATGCGCGCGCATCTTAAAATTTCACTTCATCACTTTTTCATAACGCGCCTGCAGAAGTATAACTTCAAAAACTTTCGTTTCATTTATGTGAGAAGGTAACCGTTTACCTGACTAAGTGATCACCGCCGCCCTTGTACATTTGCAACACCCGTAGGGTTGCAGTTGCGTTGCCACCTTAGTGTAACCTTACTTACCCGGACCGACATGACAATTCGTACAACTAAAACTGTTGCGTAGCCCTACCACAGCAAAACTGTAAGCCTGTATAAATATCCTCGTATCCCAGGGAAATTAATCATCAGTTGTAGAGCATTTCCATATGTTCGCGTCCTTTGGCTTTTTGCCACGTACAAGTACATTACCCACTCCGTTATCTGTACAGGGTATCAGCCGCTGTCGGATATGACCTCACACCGAAGCGTTCAACTGAGCGCAGTATTAGAACGTTTACGAGCCAGAGACCGCAAAAGTGTAGAGCTATTTCGATATGTTAGTATAAAATGTGCGGATGAATTGTCGAAAAAAAATTTTTTTTTCGGGCTAAGCGCCCAGACATTCTAGCCGTAAGGTAAACGTCAATATCCTAACCGCGCGAAAATTTCGACGTCTTACCTGCTTCTTTAGCAATACTTGGCGGCATATTATATGATAATGAAGGGAGAAGTAGGTTCAAAACTTTTCGAAAATTTATGAAGAAAAATTTGCCGAAAATTCATAAATGAGACTACCGCTCAAAGTCGAAAAATGTTTCTTAACTGCTAACCGTTGAATTATTTTAAAATCTCCCCGCATGCTTCATGTTTTTTGTGCGCACTTTACATAAAAAACTTGCAACGTAACAATTATGCCAAATGCAGTACAAGTTTAAATTTAGAGCAACCGTTTTTTTTATACAATAATTGAAACATTATAAGGAAAACAAACATTAATACTGTTTCATTTACACAATTATACATATTGCTTAAGCTTTGCAGTTAATTTATAAGGTATTGATAATGAAAAAAAAAACTTTTGTATATACACCAGTTACTAAAGATGTCCCTTCAATACATATACTATTATTATTATGCTATGTAAAGATATCTTTATATATATATTATATAATTATTATGTATGTGTGTATGTCAATGAACTCATCCTAAACGGCTGGACTGATTATAATGAATTTTTTTGTCTTCAGGTAGATTCGAGAATGGTTTAGATTCACAATTAGGTCCATTACAATTTTTTTTTATTTCTAAGTTGTCGAATTAAAGTCTTATTATATAATATCTAATTTAATTGGCTTGATTTGTATTTTGGATTTAGATTTTCAGATCATGATTATGTCATTACTTACAACTGGAGCCACATAAATTTCAACAGCAAAACGCACATTATTACAGGATGTACATAATTAGAATGCTTCCTCATAACACACACTCCATCAATTATTGAAAAATTGTTCTGATAAATCCATGGATAAGAAAAGTCAGTACTCAAAATTGTCAATCATAAGTGAGGGTCAAGGAAAATAATATGTTAATTAATGGTAACATATTATTTAACACATGGATTATTTTCCGTAATGTATATAATATGGTTTTTTAAATTGGCCTATTTTAAACAATACAAATGAGTGAGAGAATTAGTAGTAGGTATAACTTTCGAGTTAAGAGTGGACACCATGGCTAGGGAAATGTACTGCGGGAACACCCTGCAGCACGATGGACTGACGAATTAAGAAAGGTGGCGGACAGATGGATGCGGGCTGCCCAGGACCGGGTTAGTTGGCGCACTTTGGGGAAGGCTTGCGTTCAGTAGTGGACGGCAATAGGCTGATATTGATTGATGGATTGATAAGTTTCTTTTATAAATTCCTCCAAAATGGATGTTACCTTTATTAATCCAGTTGCTTGCCATTTATCGATAAATGCATAGAGGCCAATTGCTATCATCAGACCTCCAAATAACTGCAAAATACAATAACATTATACAATTAAAAAAAGCATAATACTAATGAACAAATAAAAGTAAGTATCAGAAGTAGTCTGGTTATTAATTTAATAGTACTGAAGCTTTCAATAACATATTTGGACTATATAAACCTAGAATTGTTAAAACATGGCATAAAGATCAAATATGTTAAAATAAAATAAAAAGATTTTTGGTTAGTCGACTCCAGGACAAAGAGATTAATTGTTTCTCGAAATTTATTTCATAAGTAACAATGCAAAATATAATACTTATTACTATAATAATACATAATAAATATAAAGTATCATAGATGCATTCTAGATTCAGACACAGCGAGGTGTTTTCTACCGAAACAGTTTTTTTTTTCTATACATTTGGTATATCAAAAATTAACATATTTATTATGAGAATTCATGAAATGTTTCATACTCAGGTAGTGTTAAAATATAAACCTCTAATAGAAAAAAAAAATAAAAAAATTTGTACAAAAATTATATTATTTATCAAATTACATAGTTCAATATAATTTTATAAATAATATAATTTTATAGTCAATAGTAGTACATAACTACATAAATAAATGACTTGATAACAAATTTATGAAACATATAAAAGGACTTTAATTTTTAAATTCTTCGAAGTTCGAATGCTATTTTAAATGAGACTTATGCCTGCAAACATAATTCCCATACGAACACAATACGATTATAAACAGCACTTCAGGATTTTATGAACAATGGGTGAGATGTATAAACATTGTGTTAATTTCGCACGAATGGAAAGTGAAGCTACTATTACTATATAAAAACGAATAAAGAAAACTGTTAATACTTACCCAAAATATAAAATTTAAAACAAAAATCATATATTTCACGCACCCACTGACATAGGTAAAGTTCGGTCCCCTGCGCCGATGCATTTTGGGTTTTTATTATTCCATTAACAGCCGTAATAGAAAGTTTAATTACGCACAGATGTTTGCAAGTCACAATTTAGATAATTTATTAAAAAACAAAAACATTTACTAGATGAGTAATAGAAGATTTTTAGCGACAGACAACGTACAGCTAGATTCAAAGGGGATGACTAAATGATCACAGACATAGACCCTAGTCTTTGTCTGTGGTCATTTAGTCATACCCTTTGCAGCACAGACTATGACAGTAAGGATTAGAGTGAGGGAGGAAAACAACATAATTATAATATGGATACATATGAACAATGGGTGAACATATGATCCTTGCGGGGACGTACTCCGACCTCACAGGAGACCGGTGTGAAGTGCAATTGTTATACTTCTGCGTTTCATCTGGTGTCCACTTTTTTAAAACGTATTCGTAACCCTACAGGTGTTGCAAATGTCCATGGGCGGCGGTTACCACCTAACATCAGGTGAATCACCTGCTCTCTGAATTGATCATTTTGGTCAATTCAGAGAGTTTAGCCATCTTTTTGACAACTCAAATAACATTTAAAAAGCCATTTAACAGCTGATTAGTTAAACTCTACGATGATCAGTAAATTCATATTTGTATTAAATTATATATTATTAGAGTTATAATTTTCATCAGATAAGATATCTAACTTAATAGCTTAAGTTTTTCGGGTTCGGCTCTAGAATCTAGATGGATCTCTTTTAATAAATGTCATTATGTTCCATCGTCTGGAACTTAGTTATATATTATCCTAAAGGTATTAATGGAAGTTATTTATTTATTTAAACTTTATGCCATAGACAAAGACTAGTAAAAATGCGGACTAATGTCATTTTCAGTTATCTTTAGCGTGGTATAGAGAAATTGATAGATAGGATATAATACAATACATACAAATAGGTCTAGGAGCAATTTGCTTTTAAAAGAAGATGACATCTCGCGTTACAAATGTTCATCGTTCAATGTTCTTTGTAAACTGTTAATGTCGATGCCTTAAAGTTTGCACACTAGATGGCGCCAAGCACTGCTAAGAATATAAAAAATGTAGATAGATGCAGAGCCGAGGTTTGATTTTCGCGCCGTGAGATCGCTAAACCAGAAAACGCAGGATTGAATCCCACAGCACCGAAAGTTCTCTCTCAGTTTCATTTATCTCTAAAAATGTACCATTTAATGAATAGCGAGTCTTGGCCATCCTAATTTAGAGAGGTAATGCAAAAAGCTGAGCTTTGTGAAGGCTCGCGTAGTTTTTCTCACATAAAATAATAGTTTTAAAGACAACTTTTTTAAAATATTATTTTCATATAGGATCAGTGCTTATGACTGCTTCGACAATATTAAGCTGGAATATTATTGGAAGGAACTAAAATTCTTTTAACTTATGATTAATAAATTATTTTACATTTGGATGTCGCTATGATATCTTGATGAAAATTGATGACTTGGCCAGTATATCTAAATTGACCACCTTTAAGTCTATGTACTGCAATAACCAAGTGAACTTGAGCAATTAATTTTTCTTCAAGAGATGTTAACTTTTTTAATACATATTTTGAAACTTTTAAAGCATATTTGAATGTTGAGTTTCATTCTGTTGCAGCGATGTTCTCTTTAGTTTTCTAAAAGATGGCGTTAGTAATACAATAATGTATCCAATAGAAAAAAATACAAATTATATTTTTTTTGACTGATGACACTTCTAGATATGAAGTTAAATTAATGTGTTGAAGCACAAATCTATAGGCGTTATAGTTTTTCTGTAGAGCGTGCCACTAAAATGCTCTGGTTGTGGGATAGTGTTAGGTCTCGCTTCGCTCGCTTTCATTGACTGAAGCATCATCTAATATCGAACCTTCCACGAGTTTTTATTGCATTTGCAAACACGAAGCAGTTGTGAATACCACAATGTCAATTTCTTTTAATCAATTAACTTCAAAACAAATTAGTCCCCGGAATTTTCCGCATGATTGGTTTCAAAAAGATACTACACATGAGTGGAAAGCTATCTTTAAACAAATAATAGTTGTCTTAAACGTTAAACCAGACCAGACCGAGTATTATACAACGGATGTATGTTAGCAATTATAGTGCTATTATATCTTATTTTTTTATCATATTTTATATATTTATTGTATAGTTGCTTAACGCACTTCATGTTTAAGTATAGGCCCATCAAATTATTAGTAGTTCTTTACCTGAGTAACAGAATTTGGCTTTCTGTGTTTAAATGTTAGTTGAGTGTGGCTCACTATTTCATGTATCACCATGTATCGATAAACTAACTGCATGTTTATATTATTGGTATCTAATATTACATCATACTAGTACATATCCAGTGGCAAATTTATATCTCATTAATATTGAATACTAATTAAGTAATAGCTCAACACAGACTAAATGTTAGTAAGGAAAAATATACACGTATTGTGAATTAGGATATGGCTCTGTGTCAGACTATGTTCGAGGAAAAATAATCATTCTTAATTTCTATTGACCTTTAAACAAGTTTTTAACTTAGATACATTTAAGAAACTAATAAAGATACTGATTTATTACAAAATAATAGTGATTGTGAGTATTTAATTAAACCTGTATATTATGGTTGCGGAATGTGTCGATTTTACAACCCAATTGCTACGGAGATGATGAACGTAGTTCTGTCTTATATATTTTTTGACAACTCCTAAGTACTTGACCATCTTTTCCCAAACGATCGGTTGGGTATAAATAATGTGATTTGCCCCTTTTTTGATTACATGGGGCAAGTACTACGCATACTCGCGGGGGTAAGGATGGGTTACGTCGTAATATATGTCGAACTCACACCCTCGACTAAAACCCCCACGATGTTTTACCTAGAGCACGTCGCGACCACGGAGTATAGGGAGAAGGGCGTTAGAGGTTGGTCTGAATCTAATACGTGGATGTATCTAATATGCTGACGGTTTTAAACTTATCGTTGCTCAGTAGGGTATCTACCCTTTTTTTATACGTGGGAAAAATTCCCGGGTTGGTGGTAGGGGCATCCGGTCCAGCCACATGGTGCCGTATCGGTGCAATGGACACGGCACCCCTCTCGATCCCTCCACGGGGCAGCAGTTAAGTAGGGTATCTACCCAGGATAGATACCCCAGGGTATCTACCCTGGGGTATCTATCCCAGCTAGATAGTTGGGGTCTCAGACAATAATGTTGAAGTAGAGAAGGGAAAAGTTTCCTATCATTACCGTTTCAGTGGGTTCAATAGTCGGGTCCCATGATCCTGTGATTGTTCTTTAGCGAGCTTAGGTTGGGGCGTCTGCCACGAGGTAGTAGCGATGCTTTTGCCTATGACCAGGGGCTTTATCCACGTTTGTAGCGACAGTTTATAGCGTGGGCGCTGAAATAAACGGCTTTCAGAAAATGAACACTGAAATAAAAAAGCACGGCTGCCGGTTTCGCAAGCCAAGCGAGGGTTGTGGGGCCATTACCACAGCCTCGATAGCCGATTATTCATTTGTATGAATTTCGTGGGGACTAACGGCGGATACAAACAGTTATTAAGTAAAGTATTATCCTAGGTATTCCTAGGCCGGCGCACAGGTGGTTCAGCCTCTGCTCTGAGGCTGAACACCTCTGGAGCCACGGTATGGCCCTGGTCTTTGCTTCCAGGCGCCAGTGCTATAACGCGAGGATCATGGTTTAGTTTGGATCATAGAGGAGATGGTGCGGAAGCCCCTTCTGGCCCAGATAGCCAACACCTTCTGCGTTCAGTGCAAAAGCGCTATACTTTGGCTGTTTAGGGTTTCAGCCCACACGAGAACTCTGTAAAGGGCCATGGACCACAGACTCCTGCTTAAAGACGACACCAGTAGTCGTTGAGCCCACTGTAAAAAGCTGGCGATCACATAAGATATTTTAGTTTTCAAATAATTTTATTGAATGGACAATATTAAAATTTACATATTTATTATTATAACTTGTACATACTTATGAAAACTTTTCACAATTTATTTTGACTTATTTTTCACATACAAGATATTAAGTCTGCAGCAACAATATGCAATCAATATCTATCATGTATTATAGAGTGGGACGGGTTTACGTTACGTAATGATGTTTTTGACAAAAAACAAGGCGTATTCTGCAATGAGTGTTTTTCGCGCGTTTGTGAAAATGCATTGTATTGTTAACGTGTTATTTATGTTGGAGATTTTCAATTCAAACTTTATTTTTTCGTTTTACTTTCCAATTTATCCGTTTTACTTATTAGTTTCAATTGTCTTGTTTTTATCCATGCTTATCCTCATAAATGCCGTATATTTCTATAAATTTAGATATTATTATCAATTATGTCCGAAAATGACAATAATGGTCATTTACGAAGTATAAATTTATTTAATATACCCAAATATTTTACGAAATTTACCACGGTTTATTTTTAACAAACTAATTTCATTTTATTAAAAATTGGTAACACATCTGCAACACCTCAGACCACCGATTAACATCAGGTGAACCGCGTTTTCATTTGACAATTTTTCACATAAAAATAGTAGTCCTACGTAGCTTATGGTAATTGCATTTTAGAGGATTGTAGGTTGTGGGTGGGGTTCGGATTTAATTTAATTTATAAAACTTTAAATCAAAATCCGTGAAATCAGTAAAGAAGTCTAGATATAGAAACATTATATTTTTAAGAAAAATAAAGAAGTGTGGCGAGTGTTAGTGTGGCGTGTGTTAGTGTGACGAGTATTAGTGTGGCGAGTGTTAGTGTTGCGAGTGTTAAGGTGCGTTTTGTCAGGTGATTGAGGAAATCGGGGCCCGCATCTGCATCGCTAGGGGCGTTGCTAGTTACCCTGGATATCCGCCGCCGAGGACCAGGACGCAGGAGGCTCGCCTACGCGCGCAACCTTCTCCCCTGATACCGTGACCCCGAGTGGCAGGCATGGGGGCGTCTGCTGATGTATTGTGGGGCTCGTGAGGGGCTCATTTAGCCGGACTAGGTGGCCTAGCACCCGTGAATAGGAGGCCTAAAAAGTCATTAAGCCAAGAGTCGTGGAAGATTGCGTTTTCGTGTTCCCGTATCCCCGGCTGATGCAACAGAGACAGATGCAACGTGGGTTCTTTAGTGGGTACCCGTTTCTGACTGGGACTCCCACATACCCCTGCCCCTCCCCCGATCTGGTGGCAGGGGATCCATAAAGAGTCACGTAAAAAAAGGGCGTTTCTAGTTATCCATGGGCGACGGATTGACATCAAGTGGATCGTCAACCGTTTGCCAATAATAAATTGGTGTTGGGCCACGTAGCAGCTACTGCTATGAAACAACTAAACAGGCTCATCCGGGAATCTGACATTTTAGACCAGCGTGAAGTAGAACATTTTCACTTTGGTTTCTTCACGTTCAATCTGTATGCAGCCAAATCATCTGCTTACCCACGGATATTAGTTTGCCTGCATGATAAACACGTAATATGAGGTGAATCGTGAATTTTTAATGTGGTAGGGCGAGGCAACACTGTTGCACGAATGGGCAGGTCCGTCCGGGTGAGTACCACGACCTCACAGAAGATCGGCGCCAGGTAGAAGTGTTACAATTCTGCGTTTCGTCTGGTGAGTGAGGTAGCCGGGGCCCACTTTATTTAAAGGTGGCAACGCATTTGCAACCCTACGGGTGATACAAATGTCCATGGGCGGCGGTTATCCCTTAACATCAGGTGAACCACCAGCCCGTTTGCACAATTCTCACATAAAAAGTATTTCATATCATAATTTATTCAATTATTCCTTATTTATTAACCCTCCTCCTTATTAACATAAAATATTAACACAAGACGAATGCACGTACACAAGATATATCGCGACCAGCACCGCCCTTGAACTCTGTTCAAGCTCTCGTTTACATACATAACTACTGTTGAATAACCCTCCGTGCTTATTTAAATGACAGACTGTCTAAGATAAACTCCAAGTGGTCCTCTGTATCTCAAGCGCTGCAGATAATGTTTGATCTTGCACTATATAAATCATTCTCGTACTTGCCGAATCGCGGAAAGCGGGAAGCGGTTACGATGAAGCTGTTGATAGCTATAGGGTAAGTTACTTTATACGGTTTCGTAACCAAAGGGTAAAACCCGACCCTATAATTAAGACTATGCTCTCTGTCTGTCTGTCTGGGTGTCCGTCTATCAACAGGCTGTATGTATCTCATGAACCGTGATAGTTGGACGGGTGAAATTTTCACAGATGATGCATTTCTGTTGCCACTATAACAACAAATATTCAAATGTCTGACATACAAAATATTGTAATATTTTGTATGTCAGACATAATCTTACTTATTATAAAAAGAATAGTGACATAAATTAAATACTAGAAATAAGGAAAAACTAACTACGCCGTTGATTCGTCTAATAAATGTGTGCGCATGTATAATAAAAACCCACAGCCTATATACGTTTCATAAGAATACGCAAGCGTCTGTGTGAATAAATATATTTAGAATTTTGAATTTTTGATCACTAAAATAGAGAATAAAAAACCTTAAAGTGTGGCTCCCACACATCAGACATGAATTGTTGTTATCATTAATAATGGATGGAGCGTGATAGAGTTTGCATCGAAGACATCCGCAGTGGAACAAGGGTAACCGACATAGCTCCGAAGGGTAGTAAGCTGATGAGTCGATGGATGCCGTAGGCTCAGGATCGTGCTTCGTCTGTGGGGGTCGCCTATTCAGCATTGGACTCAAACAGGCTGAAATTATGATTATGATGTTATTAGATAATGGTACGGAACACTTCGTGCGTGAGTCCGACGCGCCTTTGGCTTATTTTTTTTTTTAAATTATATAAACTTACAATCATCATCATTTTATAGTTTCATCCAATTCAACTGTATCTATTATATAGCATTTATTTTATCGCAAAAATCTTCATTGTGGTTACTTAAGTTGAACTTTTTTATATGAACCGATTTAAAAAAACTACATCGAGTTAATGAAAGTTACACCTAAATCGGTTAAGCCGTTTCTGAGATTCGCATAAACGCACAGACAAACAGACACTTTTAAAAAAATCATTGTATTGAGTTCTATTGCGTTGATAAAAGCCCCCAATAATATGTAATAATTTTTCTCAAATATCTTCCATGTACATCAGTTTCATTTTTTTCTCTTTCAGTTTGTGTTTGCCTGTCACTAACACGTCTAAAAATTGGTTAATGTAATCTCCCTTGACGGAGGGACTAGTATAGTTGAGTTCTATCCTAGTTTTTTTTAGTGACTACCTTTTTTTTCTTTCAGTTTGTGTTTGGCTGGATGCGGTGCTTTGAGCCCGAAACAGCAGCGCAGGTTCCCCGATGACTTCCTCTTCGGGACGGCGACTGCCTCCTACCAAATAGAGGGGGCATGGAACGCGGATGGTAATTTGATGTTGATATCCTGTTGCCACCTAGTGATAGTCGGGAACTAGCCAGTTCGCACCTAAAAGATACTGGTTGGCGGCCAGAATGTGGTTGACTAGACCACAATGCAGGAAACCGAGATAGCATAGAGATAAGCGTGTGAGAAATGGCATCTAGGGCGGTGTATCATCAAAACGTTGTTGCGACGTTACTAATAATTTGTAACATAGGCGGCTTATCTACTGTTAATTGGAGATAGAAAACACCTAACTGTCATACTGGGACGGATTCTGGAGATAGATAACCAAATACTAAGGATATATCGATGATAGCTATCTATATTTAACTGTTTATTGAACACATAACTGGGAACGGCCGTTAACGACCCGATTTTTTATCGACGAAACCAACTGCCCATCCCTCCATTAAGCGATCCAGAGTAGTTGAGAACAGAAGGATAGCCAAAATATCATAATATTGTTCTCTCGACACTATTGCTTCACCTCTTATCACTAAGCCAGTAAAGTATCTAAATTCTGTCGTTATTACAATGTTGTATAAGAACAGTAACAACTAGGTTACATAATATCTAACATAATGTTGTCTAACATAACTTGATTCAAGAGCCTTGGTACCTCACGTATTATTTGATATTCAATGCCGAGAGCTTCGCTTTGTCGTTCATTATTCACGCAGCTGAATAGTGAATCAATTCGTCTCTCCGTTTGGACAAAACGTGGGTGAATTCAAGGCAAAAGTGATTTGGCTTTAAATGTGCGAGTGCGTTTACAGATAGTAACAATAGCATCTCTATTTACAGCCAGTTTAAACAGCAAGTTTTGCATAAGTTAAACGATTGGACAGTATTCCCAATGGTTAAGCAACAACCCCAGCGTTAAATACGAGCTCTGTGATGTTTCTGACTATTTAAGGGCATTTGCCAACACACTTTTTATCGCTCAACAATTGAAGGGTTTCAGATGCTTTCTTTTTCTTTTATCTGGTATCCGAGATTAACTCGGCTGCTGCCAAATTGCAGATGCGTTACCACCTTTCAATACATTGGGCCCCGGCGTTTTCACTTATGAGTCGTTGTACTTCCCTGGACAGACCTGCACATTCCTGCATTCTTGTTCTGGATGTTTAGATTGGTATTCAATATTTTGAACAAAAATTGCTCGGTGATAAAGATCTAAATGATAAAATTTGGGACATTGATCTACCATTATTTTAGTATTTCATAAACAAGTGGACAAGGATAATTAAATAAATCAAGTCGAGTTTCACTGACTTTATTAAGATCCATAAACAGCGTGTCGTTACAACCGCGACAATAAATGAACACACGTCTAATGCTACTTGCAAATAATCATCAAAAAATATAAAACGTTAAAAAATCCATAATTAAAAAAATATATTTTTCAAACAAACTAATTAAATAAAAAAGAGAATAAAAAAGAAACAAATTTTGTAACATCCTATACAACTACAACTGACTGATTAATACATTCAGAGACTTTTTCATTCGTTGTCACAACACAGTCACATTACAAGTCTCTCCTTCTAACAGCATGTTTTATCTCTTTGAAATTCATTCAACCCATTCATATGCTTTGCGACAAATGAACTTAACGTTACAGTTTTATACGTAAGGGTGTTTTAAAAATGTTTGTTTTGTTAATTTTAAGTTTAATAACTCTGTAAATATTGATGTTTAAAGAATGTAAATGCTTAATACAATTTTAAAAAGTTATCGTCTATATGTGTACATTTATTATCGCGGTTGTAACGACACGCTATATAGCAATATAGCAATATCAATATTTTTAAACAAAAAAGCTTCTATAGCTTTGTGTTCCTACAAAAACTGAATTTATAATTATGTCCTTAATACCAATACTTTCAGTCAGCTTCATTTACTGTAGGGGAGTTTGCTATATGTCATGATTTTATTTTAAGAATAGATAAATCAAGATATAGTTAATATATAGCTTCTCCTATTGTCTTCATTTCTCTATACCTCCATGTAGTACCTTCTCAATCACTATTATAAATCTAGGGCTACTAACCTTCCGCAGATCTGTTCCTAAATGGTGTGTGCAGTGCATTGAGTATGTTAATTGTTTTAGACAAGGGAGAGAACATCTGGGATCACATGACTCACACCAAGCCTCATGTGATCAAAGATCAGAGCAATGGCGACATCGCTGCCGACACCTACCACAACTACAAGCGCGATGTCGAGATGATGCGCGAGCTCGGATTGGACGCGTACCGATTCTCCCTCTCTTGGTCCCGAATCCTGCCCGATGGCTTCTCTAACAGGGTCAGCAAAGCGGGCGTCACGTTCTACAACAATTACATCGACGAAATGCTCAAGTACGGCATCACGCCGATGATCACTCTCTACCACTGGGACCTACCCCAGAAACTGCAAGAGTTAGGAGGTTTCGTCAACCCACTGTTCCCGGACTGGTTCGAGGACTACGCGAGGGTTGTGTTCGAACACTTCGGTGATAGGGTGAAGCACTGGATCACCTTCAATGAGCCAAGGGAGATCTGCTACCAAGGTTATGATACGGTAGAGAAAGCCCCGCAGTTAAATGCCACCGGTGTCGGCGCGTACCTTTGTGCCAAAAGCCTGGTTTTAGCACACGCCAAGGCCTACCACGCATACAGGAACGATTTCGCCCCGAGCCAAGGCGGGCAATGCGGTATCACCATCAGCGTTAACTGGTTCGGTGCGAAAACCGACTCTGAAGAAGATCAGTTCGCAGCTGAACTCTACAGACAAGGAGAGGTGGGCAAACTTCACTACTCATGAATTTATGATAATACTTATCTCAGTTACCAAAAATTTACATATTCCATACTAATTATTACATACATGTGCTCTTTTCCTCAAATAGTTGTTCGGAAGTAATAAATATTTGTGATAACAGTGGATTTATAATGATCATTATTATTTTATTTGGCACTCGCGCCTAGGGAATAGAGTAGCTCTCTCTTGTGCAAGAGGTTGTTTGTGCGATCCTTACTACTGGAGCAGTGCAATATAATGAATGTAGTGTTTCCTGGCGACTTAGTCTTTTTAACACATTTTTCAGAATAATAGTTTATTTATAACTTACCAATACTACAAGCGCTATTTATTTATTTATTCTTAATGCACACACATGAATGTGACAAAGGTGGACTTAATGCCATCGACATTATTTTCCAGTCAACCTTGCGGTGGTCCAGAACAACAACATTTCAATTCTTTCTCAATATGTTTTTCACCAGTGGGGATTATACGCGGAACCGATCTTCTCAGAAAAAGGCGGCTTCCCTAAGGAGCTGTCCGAGAGGGTCGCCCATAAGAGCTTGGAGCAGGGATACCCAAGGTCCCGGATGCCAGAGTTCACTGACGAAGAGAGGGCCTTTGTCAGGGGTTCCGCCGATTTCTTCGGGGTGAACCACTACATGGCCCAACTTGTGTCAGCCGGCGGTGGAGATTTCATAGTGCCTTCCGTGAGAGACGATGTTGGCGCGACCACCTATGTACCAGACGAATGGCCCGTGTCGGCATCGTCGTGGTTGACAGTAAGCAGACTTTTCGTTGTAGTGACATAATCGTATTAATTACAACATTTCCTATAAATACCTTAACCACGATGTTGAGAATCTCTGCGGCTAGGATCTGTTGTATTAAGTCGCTAGTTCTCCGCATTAGAAAGAAAGAGAGAAAACATTTATTGTAAAAATACGCAATATGCACATTTAAACCAAAAACATAAAAAATACATAGTAAAAAGAAAAAAAAAATGAAACACATCACACATTTTACGACAAACAGACCGCACTCAGCTTAATGCTGCATACGATACTATAGCTCTGGTTTTCAGTGGGTCTGTGAATTGACGCACGGACGTCAACACCGTCAATGATGGACTAATAATAATAAACATAGAGTACATGAATACATAATATTACCGAGACTAAAACATATATCTGACCTACACAGGAGTTTTACATGAAAGAAAGGATTTGTACAGAATCAGAGAAGACACTCCGTCTCTGTAAGAAAAATCAAGGCTAGCTTTGACGTTTCTAGGTGGTAGTGGATGGTATTATAACTAGAGATGCAAAAGTCGATTGGAAGGCGTGGCAGGAGTTGCAGCAGTGCTTGCTACGATAGACTTGAGTATGGGTTATGCATAGGATGGTTATTGCGCTAGTAGGGCGAAAGGCAGCAGTAAACTTAATCTTCTGTTGTGGAACGTCCCCGGTTTTCGAATAAAAGTCGATGTTTGGCTCTACTACTTAACATAGAAAGAAACGTATAGGATATTTTAATACATAAATGATCCATTTTGATTTAGTACATTATGTATGAAAAGTTGTAAGGTAACTATTTTAACATAAAATATTAAGTCTAGCTTTACTCAATTAGGCGGTAGTACCTACTTTAAGGCTAATTGAAAAGCAGTACTTTAAAAATTTTATTTCAGTAATATTTGAGATTTATTTAGCCGCGGTCAGCAACTAGTATTCTAATGAATGTGATACAAATATTTTTAGCAAGCGCCGGACAGCATGCTCAACGCGCTCACCCACCTCAAGGAGAAGTACAACAGTCCAGCGTTTTACATAACGGAGAACGGCTGGTCCAGCCCGCCAGAGGCTGGTCTCCTGGATGACGACAGGATCCGGTACTACCGGGCGGCCTTGGAGAGCGCCCTCGATTCCCTCGACGCTGGCGTGAACCTGAAGGGCTACATGGCCTGGAGCCTGATGGACAACTTCGAGTGGATGGAAGGCTACACGTGAGTGCAACAATTCAAAGCCAGAATAAATTCGCTCTATTCAACTTTCTATTAAATCAAATCAAATCAAATCAAAATCATTTATTCATCGACATAAGAAACTTACATTTCATTTATTAAAAGTCATATTTTTTTTTTAAATCTACCACCGTTTCGTAATGAGGTTCCTCTAGCGGAGAAGAAACAGGCGAAAGAAACTCCTTAGTATTCTCTTTTTTGTAATTATTTTTTTTTTCTTAACAAAAAATTCAAAAATTATACAACTGACTTTTTTCCTTTTAGAAATAGCTTGGGAGCGATCAACTCATTCCCAGGGGTTATTGTCATTAATGTATTCATTTGTATTATAATAACCCTTTTTATAAAGTTTTTCTTTAATAAATTTCTTAAACCTGTTAATGGGCAGGTTTTGCGCATTTACTGGGATTTTGTTGTAAAAGCGTATACACCGCCCCATGAACGAGTTACTTACTCTATGGAGTCTAGTAACTGGCATTACAAGCTTGTGTTTGTTCCTAGTGTTCACATTATGTATATCAGTATTCTTATCAAAATTATTAATATTTCTACGCACATACATAACATTTTCATATATATATTGAGAGGCTAAGGTTAATATATTTATTTCTTTAAACTTCTCTCTCAAAGATGCATTCAAATCTAGATTATAAATAGTTCTTATGGCCCTTTTTTGCAAAATAAAAATTGTTTCTATATCGGCCGCGTGCCCCCATAGCAAAATACCATATGACATTATGCTATGGAAGTAACTAAAGTACACAATTCTAGCCGTTTTTACATCAGTTAGACATCTTATTTTCCTTATAGCATACGCTGCAGAACTTAGTCTATTCGCAAGTTTGGATATATGGGGACCCCATTGAAGCTTTGCATCGAGAGTTATTCCAAGAAAGACGGTCGTATCCACAAGGCCTAACTCCCCCCCATTTATAAGTACATTGGTAGCACCCAAATGTTTAACATTAGGTGTTGAAAATTTCATACATTTAGTTTTATTACCATTTGATAGTAAATTGTTAGTATTAAACCAATAGACTATTTCTGACATAGCATTATTCACCTCGTCAAGTGTAACAAGCTGTCGATTGATTTTAAAAATTAATGATGTTACATCGGCAAATAAAACTATATCGTGTTTACTCCCTACAAAGTAAGGAAGATCATTAATGTAAATGAGAAAGAGAAATGGGCCGAGAATCGAGCCCTGCGGAACGCCCATAGATACCGTCGACCCAGAAGAACTAGCACCATTAATTACAACTTTTTGAATTCTATTAGATAGATATGACTTAATGAGGTCAAGCGCGGTACTTTTAATGCCATAATGGCGCAATTTCCTGATCAGTGTTTCATGATTCACGCAATCGAAAGCCTTGGAAAGATCACAAAAGACACCCAGAGCATCCTGTGAACTCTCCCAAGCCTCAAATATATGTTTGATCAGCTCTACACCAGCATCGGTTGTAGAACGACCCCTTGTAAAACCAAACTGGTTGTGATGTAATAATTTATTTAAATTAAAATGTGTTAACAGCTGATCTAAAAGAAGTTTTTCGAAAATTTTACTAAGTGTTGGTAGTATAGAAATGGGTCTAAAATTAGTGGGGTCCGAAGTACTACCGGATTTAAATACAGGTATACTGTGTTTCATGAGATCAGGGAATACGCCAGAATCTACACTACTGTTAAAAATTATTGACAAATAAGGTGCGATTGAATCTATTATTGAGGCAGTCATTTCAACGGACATTCCCCATAGATCTGCCGTTTTCTTAAGTTCAATGGTCTTAAACATTTTTATAATATCTTTTGCATATACAGCCTGAAATTTAAAGATTGTGGTGCAAGCACTTACATTTTCCTTAAGTAATGTCTCGGCAACAGCAGGAGAAGAATTCAGCGACAATGTAGTTAAAGTAGGAATCTCACTAAAGAATTTTTCAAACACTTCAGCTACCTCCTGATTAGTCGTTATAAATTTATTATCAATGTTGAGCTGGTAGTCAGACCTACGTGATTTGGTTTTTCCTGTTTCACTATTTATAATGTTCCAAGTCATTTTTACTTTATTAGAGGCATTTTTAATTTTATTTCTCAAATGTAATGACTTGGCGGCAAGACACACTTTTTTAAATATTTTTGAGTAATTTTTAACATAATCTTTAAATGTCTCAGAATGATTGTATGACCTTTCACTGTAAAGTTCATAAAATCTTCGTCTACTGCTGTGAATTCCTGCTAGATTCCATTACTTCATTATTCATCCATTCATTAAAAGTCTTGCGACTGTTCAAAGAGAATGTTTTAGAAGTAAAAACGGCATTGTATTCGATTTGTATGAAATTAAATAATGAACTATACAAGGCGTTAGCATTGTCATAGTAGGGCAGCAAAGGTAGTTTTTTATTAAATTACTTCTAAACTTCTCCTTGCGATATTTATTTATCGGAACAAACACAGCTTTCCTAGTATCTTGGATTTTACAGTGCAGAGGCAATGTGACAAACTGCCCTGAATGGTCAGAACTTAATTTATGTATTATTAGTCAAAAAAGAACTGTTAAAAACAAGTCAATTTCTAAATCTTTACCTTGAAAACCTTGAATATTTTGATGCACCAGGTTTAAACAATTTTTATTACATAACATTTTCTGTGAAATAGAATAATTTTTTTTATAATTCATTACATAAATGTCATTGCAAGAGATTTCCTCTTTTGTCTCAAGATTAATTTCTATTCATTTTGACTGCAGCTATTGAAGGTCAAAGTTTGGGGCGTAATGGTTTCAAGCTGTCCAAGATTGTCGCTCTTACTGATGTGGCTAACAGCCATCTAACTTGTTTACAAACTTCGATCGGTCCGGTAATGAATCGGAAAGAAATTTTGCAATGATTTACATGTCTGATCACTGTTCGAAACATTATATTGGCATTATACTAAAAGAATACCATAAGCCATAAACTCAAACCAAATATTATTCATATAATAAGATATGAATAATATTTGGTTCGAGTGGTTTTCTGAGCGAGCATCACTGGGTTTAAAAGTAAACTAAAGTAACAGCCTATACATGTTCCACTGCTGGGAAATAACCTCCTCTATAAAAAAGTAAATGTTAAAATTATAAAAAATCAAAATGGTTGATTTTTTGGCGGCACTATGTATGTTTTCGAAACAATTTTTCGTGCTTCGGTCTAGTGTTTTTTTTTATTTTAATTATACATACATATTGTTAAGGACATTGCCGACCAACCATGAAAAAGGTCCGAAAAATACTGGTTTTATGGTATATTTTAATTTTTTTAAACATGCCCCTTAACTGTGGGATAATGGCCTGTGTTTTATAGACGCTTTAAATACCTAAATTTCATGTATTTAATTAGAAAAGGTCTTTGGAAATTTTTGTTTGTGCTAAATACGTAAGGGACCCACTGTTTCAGAGAACGCTTCGGTCTCTACCAAGTGGACTTCGAGGATCCAGCGCGCAGCCGCACGCCCAGGAAGTCGGCGTTCGTCTACAAGCAGATCGTCAAATCGCGCGTCATCGACCACGAATACGAGCCGGGCTCCATGACCATGACCATCGACGAAGGTCACTGATGCCAATAAAGCCTGATACTTAGAATGTCACTGGATGTTAATAAAAAGCGATCATATTGATCATAATTTACTATATAGAAGAAGGCCACAAATAGTTGCTATTTAATAATTATTACTTCCATCATATCTTCAATTTTTGTATTAAATTTTATATGTTTGACTCAATTTTTTGTTATAAGCTAAGAAATACATATTTAAGTTTGTATTGTCATTGATTAATGTATCTGTTTTAAAGCAATAAAATAATAATGCTTTTTGTATAAACATGTGACTGATAATCAAACGAAATACTTACATATTTATTTATTTATTTATTTATTTGCACACTTTTTTACTAACTGGTACAAACGGCGGGCTTAATGCCATAAGGCATTTTCTACCAGCCAACCGGAAAGTTAGTGAGAGAGAAGTGTAAGGTGCTAGCTATATAAGGATTATATAATATGTATACATACATTATGATAACAATTATTAAACACTTACAACAATAAATACATCTATATTTAAATGAATGGTATTATAATAGGTATATATATACGTACATAAAACGGAAATATCTGTCAAACGTTATCCATACTACTGATCATAAGACGAATTCAAATATTTCTTAACTTTAGCTTTAAAAATAAATTTATTCGGCGATTTTCGAATTTCACTAGGAAGGGGGTTCCAGAGTCGAGCAGCTGTAACAACGAAGGATTTAGAGAGAAGACCGGTACGGTGAGAAGGAATAAGCAAAGTAAGATTACCAGCAGATCGAAGATTGTAGCAATGAGAGGTACCCAGGTATGAAATTTAGACTTCAGATACGCTGGGGCAAAAGGATCGTTAATGATACTATAAAGCGTACAGAGGATCCGAAGATTCCTCCGTTGGGAAATATTCATATAAAATTATATATTTTTTAATTAAACAGAACTACGACAAAATAAATTTTCTAGACTTTCCTCCTACAACAAGCTAAAGTTTACCTACTTACTATCTTTAGTTACCTATTTACTGTAATAGGTAACTAAAGATAGTAGATATTACAGTAAATAGGTAGCTAAAGATAGTAGGTAGATAAACACAACCTCGAATATCAGGGGGAGTTGAAAAATTTTTGTCTTCTTACTTATTCTGATACATCTATTGAATATGACGTATAAGGTTTTAAATAATAAAAAGGAGTTGGGAGACATTCTTAGAAAATTGGACCCTACGCTACAGTTATATTTTTTACACTATTGGGTACTATAACTAAACAAAAGATTATCCCTAGATTTTTGTTAGATTCTCAATGACAATACTAAAACAAAAATCAGGTAAAAAATGCGAGATATTCAAGTTCGTCGGGCAAATGTATGGTTCGTTACAGTTATTGTCAATAACCTTTGAACACGTAGCATAAGGGGATGTGAATAAATACACAGTAATATTGCAAAGAACCACCGAATGTTCACTACTATGTGTTTACTAATTCGATGTTAAAATCTGATGTTATAACAAAATATTAAGAGGCATATTTAAAAAAAAAACTGGGGACAAAGTGATTAAAATAAACATTATTTTAATCTGGCGGAACTAAAATGATTCCAAAATGTACTTCCGCTTATACAACTGGAACCAAAATGTTTCCATTAAGTTCAGTTTGTATAAATGGACAACAGCTTAATTTGCATTTTTGTGTTACTTTCATGTCAGGCGGCTGCAACGCAAAGTATTTTACTTTTTACCACAATAATCCTAAAAGAAAATGTGGTATATTGTAGCCGTTGGTCCCATTTTCTAGTTTAGTCCCCAAAATTACTTAGGACCTGTCACTTTAGGTATTGTTCGCACTACTACACGTGCACGGCTCACATTGGCGTGAAGCGGTGAATTTTTAGTAATCTGATACAACTTGATACTTTTATTTATTTATTTATTTATTTAAGCTCCATTGCTACACCTTAAGCTAAGGGCTATAATGGGCGGACTTATTGCCTAAAGGAATTCTCTACCAGTCAACCTTTGTCATGGTAAAAAGTAGATGGCAGATGCTAAATGAAGATTATAAAAATTAAAGTTGTAATAAATTTGCTCTGAAATATAACATATATGTAAGTATAAATAGGTATATAAATAGAAATATAGATAATTATATATAGAAACTAGCTGACCCGGCCATATAAATTATTTGTAGGGTAGAAAAAAATGTTTGGGGTGGACTACCCTTGATATTTAGGGGGTTGAAAAATAGGTGTCCGATTCTCCACCCTGGCCGATATGCACACAAAATTTCACGGAAGAGTTCAATTACAAACACCGTGACACGAGAATTTTATATATTAGATTAAGACATCATAAATTCATATACGGACAGTAAAACACAAATGGAATAAGCCGAATAAAATCAATGATTAAATAAGAAATCTCGAATATTTTTTTTAAACATTTATACTTATTAGGAGCTGTTTTGATCTTATCGGACAGGGCGTTCCAAAGGACTGTAGCCTGAACAGTAAAAGAAGAGTTGAAGTATCCTGTATTATGATACGGAATGCGAATCATAAGTTGGTTGATGAACTGAAATACTCTGCTAGGACCAGAGTGAAGGTATTGGACCTACCAATACCTTAAGGTATGAAGGTATCCATCCATCCTTAATGTATGAAGGAGAGTTAGGATTAGATAATACAAAATACAATATTAACAGAATTCTAGAGCTGGGCCTCAGACGGATAGAAAGCCAGTTAAGCTGGCGACGGTAGGAAGATATATGGTCATATTTACGTAAACCGTAAATAAATCTAATGCAGTTATTGAGAAGGCGCTCCAATTTATCGAGACCAGATTGGGATAGGGTACACACATTAGCGTAGTCGATAATGGCCAAAATTAATGATTGGACAAGCAAAATCTAAGTTTTAAAGTCATATACATATTTTTTTGCATTTGAAGCAATGCTTGGCGCATGCATTGTTATACTCTTTTATAGCATATTAATTTCGATTATCGTTTAACAACGTTAATTGGAATAAGAAAATTTTTCGCCGCTGTGGTAATCGAACCCACGTCTTAGGGATTCGGGTCCTAACGCTAAGATAAAGGGCTGATTGCCAAACAAAATTTCAACCTCTTATAACTACATTGTTTTTATAAGCATTTGAACGAATGACGAAGCGAAGACGTGGATTATGTTTCATCTTAAGTTCACAGATTAAAACTATAAAAAAATCATTTACTTGATTTCATTGAACTAGTAGTAGCTATAAAAGGTTTCATATCATTTCCTAGTACCGTGCCATCTGGGGTTCCACAAGGTTCTCATTTGGGACCATTATTTTTTTTGATCTTCATAAATGACATCGGTTCTGTATTAAATTCAAATTTTAAGATGTATGCAGATGATCTAAAAATTTATCGAATTATTAGGAATGATGATGACAGAGTTTGTTTACAGCACGATCTTAACCGACAAAGTGAGTGGTGTACTGAAAATCTGATGACATTAAACGTTAGCAAATCTTACCACATTAAGTTCACTAGGAAAAAAAAACCCACTTCCTAATACATATTGCATAAATGGGTCACCTTTATCGGAAGTAAACAATATTCGTGATTTGGGAGTTATTATCTATCGACAGTTCTCTTACGTTTAGCTATCACTCTGATTTTATTATGAAAAAAGCATCACAATTATCAGGATTTATAGTTCCACAGATGAATATTTTTAATAATGCTAATTTAACGATTCACATTTATAATTCGCTTATACGCAGCATTTTAGAATATTGTTGCGTTGTCTGGAATCCTGGTTATGCGGTTCACTCCGATAGAATAGAGCGTGTTCAAAAGCGCTTTCTTTATCATATAACATACAGAGAAATTAAATGCCATCATGCTAACTTCTTATCAGGAGCGACTTAGATATTATGGGATGACATCTCTGAGAATTCGCAGAAAGATTAATGACATAATGTGCTTGTACAAATTGCTACACTCTTACATAGATTCATCAGATATTTTAGAAAAACTTGAGTTCTCCATACCTCTTTCTAGCAGTCATCTTAAAAATCGAAATACATTTATGTTACCTTTGTGTAAAACCGTTTACGGACAGCATTTCCCAATTTATCGCATGTGCGCATCAAGTAATGCTATTCGATTTAGCGTGGATATTTTTGCAGATTCTCTGGCCTCAACAAGAAAAAAATTATATTTATCATTGTAAGTTAAAGTATTGGCATAAATGTATTTTTTTAACCCTTATAGTTTAAGCTATTTTGTTTTATTTAGTTTTCTTTTTTGTTTAGTTTTTCACATTTAAATTTAATCTCTATTTATATTAGTTATTAAGAAAGTTGTATTATCTTTGTCCTTTTTCTGATCGATTTAAATGCATGTTGTGTCTACACCTAGAAGAATGCACTTTTGTGTTTGGAATAATTGGAAGCTTATATAAACTTATGTAAAGGTTGTATTCAGTTTTGTAGACCTAATAAAGGAAAAAAAAAAACAAAGATGCGTCTGTCCCTATCCATCCCGAGGTCTGTCTGTCCCTATGTATACTTAGATCTTTAATACTACGCAACGGTTCTTGATGCGGTTGTTTTACTAAATAGAGTGATGATTCAAGGGGAATGTTTATATGTATTGCACCCGTGCGAAGCGGGGGTGGGTCGCTAGTAAAATATAAAACTACGAATTACATCTTACCCAGGTTGTCCATAGTCCGTACAGAATATGTTTATCAAATTTGTTATGTCAAATATTTTGTATTCCACCCCAATCCGTTAGTTGTAGGTGACGTCAACTACAGACCCTTATCGTTAGATACGTTCCAGCGCAAATGGCGTAATAGACCGCAACATGTCCTCCATTTTCCTGATGATTAGACGACTATCCGGACAAAGCAATGCAAACACACGAAAATATACCGCAGGTTTATTCGTACCTGGCCGGTTTTCCACCCAGTAATGATAGAAACATTGCTGGAGCTTCTTCCGCCACTTCTTCTCCCATCGCCAACGCTTTCCGAAGTGGTAATGATAGCTTTAGAAATTCTTACAGTCAGACTATAGCTACCGATCGAGCCGACGCTCTGCCCTTTCGGACACCCAAACCGGTGAAAATACTAATAGCGTTGCTGCCCCAGCCCTCAAGCTTAGTCACCCTTAACCGAGGTAGATCCTACTGACCGATCTAGACCGACTCTGCCTTCGGCTTTCTTCCGGGCAGCGGAAACAGGAAGCCCAGTATCAAATAAATTCACTATTTATAACTTTATGCCAAGTCAGAGTCTGAATTGATTGTCATTTGTTATATCAATCCTTATCTGAAAACATTTGTATGTTTTTCTCCCTTCAAGGTCAAGATCACATTTATCTTAGAGGAACGTGATACTCACCAGATACTGTCCCCATCGGTGAGATAAAGACCCAAGTGGCGATTGTATAATCCTAGATAGTACTACCATAGTAGTATATAAACAGATACAAAACACCCTAAATGAAAGGTTCAGATCCGATTCAAAATAATATGAAGTTGCTTGTTTTGGTTGGGTAAGTGCTCAATATTGAAGAGTTAATGATTGCTTGAAGTCAATTTTATTCGGAATATAGTTTCATTTATAAATTGAGAGTTAAAAAACTGCTGATGAGATTTCAGATCGTTCCTTTTTTCAATTAAATAGTAATGCGTAATACTATAGCAGTTCTAATCCATAATCAAAATTAATAATAAGTACAATTAAAATCCCCTTGAAGCTAAATAAAATTTCTGATACCATGTATTTAAAGCACGTATGAAAATAAATAAAAATCTTTCAGTCTACTAACCGTAGAGTGTTTTGGGCTTACCACTAAGCAGCAAAGGAGGTTTCCAGACGATTTCATGTTTGGCGCAGCCACCGCCTCTTACCAAATAGAAGGTGCTTGGAATGCGGACGGTAAGTCCATAATGATATCTCAATAACTAAGTCTAGTCCAATTTAAACCAATGAAAACAGGTTTGCGTGTTTACCGCGAAGAGGAAATCCTTCGTCGTATCTCCCTTTTTTGAAGGCACTCACTTCCCTTGTTAATATATCGAGCAAGCGTCAATTTCGCGGTCATTTGGACAGAAAAGCCAAGGTAGCTTCTAAAAAGCTCGGTGTCACAAATCGAGCTTGACAGTATTTCCTACTGGCGCACATCGCTTGCGGCTTTATGAAGCACAGATTCGGCTGGTCATGGAATATTAATCTCACCTCTGGGCTGGGGCACCAAAATATCAGCTTCTTCTATTTGACCGCATCTAACGAAGAGCTGCTGATCAGGTTCTCTTCGATCGCCTAGACTCGTCGGCCTTGCGAAGGAATGTTGCATCCCTTTGCATTTTCTATTGGGTATATCACTAATAAATTACCATCGACACCCTGATCGTTAGCTGTCCATCACTGTGGGTTTTTCACGAAATTTACCGCCCCGCAGAGCTACTTGACAAGAAGAAGTCGTCGCCAGTGGTATTTCCAGACAGGTACGACTTAGGAACCTTCAAGAAGAGAGCCTACTCTTACCTTAAAAAGGCCGGCAACAAAATTGTGACTCCTCCGATGTTGCAAGTGTTCATAGGCGGCGGTAAACTTTTATCATCAAGTGATCCATTCGCTCGTTTGCCTCCTATTTCTGTAATCGGTGGTCTCGTGGTCTCAGTCCTATTTCAGACCACATGTTCTTTAACTGCTTATGTACCTGTTTTTTAATTGTTATAACTTTATAGGCAAGAGCGAGAACATCTGGGATCATATAACCCACACCAACCCCACCATAGTCAAGGACCATAGCAATGGCGATATCGCTGCTGATTCCTATCACAATTACAAACGCGACGTAGAGATGATGCGAGAGCTTGGCTTGGACGCGTACCGTTTCTCCCTCTCCTGGTCTAGAATCCTGCCGGACGGCTTCTCCAATAAGATCAACGAAGCGGGTGTCTCTTTTTACAACAATTACATTGATGAAATGCTGAAGTATGGCATCACGCCTATGATAACCCTCTACCACTGGGACCTGCCCCAGAAATTCCAAGACTTGGGCGGCTTCCTCAACCCCCTATTTCCGGAATGGTTCGAGGATTACGCAAGGGTAGCTTACGAGCAGTTTGGCGATAGAGTGAAGCATTGGATCACCTTCAACGAACCGAAAGAGGTCTGTTACCACGGCTACGATTCTCATGCATTGGCACCGGTTTTGAACGCTACTGGCATTGGAGCTTACCTCTGTGCAAAGCATTTGGTCTTGGCGCATGCTAGAGCGTATTACGTTTACAAAAACGAGTATGCTCGAGAAGACGGTCTATGCGGGATCACGTACGCCTTGTCATGGATAAGGCCACAAACAGATTCGGAGGCAGATGAGTTCGCAGCCGATCTGATGAGACAAGCCGAAGTAAGTATTTTTAGTTTGCAACATCTTCATTTTAACGGTCAGTTTCTTCTGTGCGAGATTAGCGCAGCAGCGTTTGTAGCTCGTCCGGAAATTAGCTGCGGTCCTTAAGAAGACCTTCGTGAGGTGGTAGTCTCTAGGCGAGTCTTAATAATTTTGTTTTTATTTCTGTTAAATTGGGTTACCATGGACATGCTGTGCAACGCTTTTAGTGTTAATGACATCTTTACTGCCAGGTGAAATAAACGGCTTTATCATCATCAGTGTGTTCGTCACTGTAGCTACTATCATATATTAATATGCAACGTTATCTAATTGGGTCTTGTTTTATATCGGGGAAATGTTAAAAAAGATGTAATGTTAGAAAAGATGATAGGAAACACTACCCCCTACACTGTTTTATACACACAAGCATGTCAAAGTGGATAATGCTATAACGCTAAATGCTGACCAGTTGAAGTAGAAGTTGGTTTAGTCATTACTTCATCATCATCATTCATGTAGGAGTTGTACTAAATCTACTGTCCTAGCATTGCGTTTAAAAGTGCGATGTTATTGATGAATGACGATTTTTTATTCCAGTGGGGCCTTTACACTGAGCCAATATTCTCGGAGGAGGGCGGGTTTCCTAAGGACCTTAAGAAGCTGGTTGATCAGAAAAGCGCTGAACAAGGATACTCCAGGTCTCGAATGCCGGAGTTCACCGAAGAGGAGAGGGACTTTGTCAAGGGCTCTTCCGATTTCTTCGGGATAAATCATTACACAGCCAAATTAATCTCCGCAACGGAAAATCTACAGGAACACCCAGTGCCCTCTGTATATAATGATATCAATGTCGGAGAATCTGTTGCGGAGGACTGGCCTTCAGCTGCGTCATCTTGGCTGAAGGTATGACGATTAGCCATTACTAGGCGTTTACTATATCGTACACATGTTCATCCTAACTTGAGTTATCTCTGTGCAATATTTCATTCATAAATTTTTGCGGTCACAATGCAATATTCTTTTTTTCATTACTCTTTTAAAACCATGGACATAAACAGTTTGCGTAGAGACTTGAGATCAATGTAGTTAACATTTTTTGATATTTTTATAAATTCTCTAATATTCTACGCGGTTGAGTAATAAATCTGTATAGTTCATTGCAAATATTTCAATTTGTATTGCAAATACGTCATAAGCGATTCAAGACATTTAAAAAAAGTTTTGTTTTGTTTTGTTTGGAACTCTTTTTATATGGTTTTGAGATATTTTCATAATGATTTTTGGGGTACAATTTTTTTTTCTATCTTCCTTCCAAATGATGAAATGAAATTCAACGTTTTTAAATATAGATACTCTTATAGTTCGCTAAAAGGAAGTTACTGCAGGCTTGCTTTACGGTAATTTGACTCGTCATTTTGTTGAGCAACTAGCTAAAATTGTATTATTTAACAGCAAGCACCCGATAGTCTCCTAAGCGCCCTCGTGAACATTAAGGAAAAGTACAACAACCCAATGGTCTACATTACGGAAAATGGGTGGTCCACCACTCCAGATGTTGGGCTGATAGACGACGATAGGATTCGGTACTACAGAGCGGCTTTGGAGAACGTTCTGGATGCCTTGGAGGCCGGCGTGAACCTCAAGGGCTACATGGCGTAGAGTCTTATGGACAACTTCGAATGGATGCGGGGCTACACGTAAGTACCGAGAAGTCTAAGTCAAGACATTTGATTTTTTATTTTAGCTCTCTGGGCACCCACTCATCCTCTATTAATTTGCCATTGTTTTATTTGCACCTATCTATATATGTAATGTCTATGGGAACAAATTTAATTACTAACTCTATATCTATGTATAAAATCTCTCTCTCTATATCTAAAAAAAGTCCATAATTTTATATTTGGTCGTTTACATTAACTCTAAACTTAAGATTGTAAAGAGAAAATTATTTAAATAAGAATTGTTGTATCAGAGTCTTAGTAAGTATAGTAAAGTCGTCCCGCGGTCTGTCTGTCCCAATAGTGCATAGATCTTTAAAACTACGCAACGGATTTTGATGCGTTTTTTTTATTAGATAGAGTAGGTAGGTACAAGAGGAAGGTTTATATGTATCCTATATTCTGATTCTGAATAAATCGCTTGATTATGTGTAGCATCTAATTGACAAATTTACTAAGCATAGCTTGATTTGACCTTGTAATTGTTTCAGGGAACGGTTCGGCCTGTACGAAGTGGACTTTGAAGACCCGGCGCGTACCCGTACACCCAGAAAGTCGGCTTTCGTCTACAAACAGATCTTGAAAACGCGCGCTATCGACCACGACTACGAGCCTGACTCCATGACCATGTCAATAGACGACGGCCATTAAATGGTTTTTCACACAACCGTCAACTTGTAAATGTTTAAAAATAAAGTACTTAAATACATTAAAGTTTTTGTCATAGTCTTCTAAGTCTCACGTAAAATAATACATGATAATGTAAGTGTATCATCAGTGGTTGGGATTATTAATTTTAAGTAAAAATTTTCACTTGTTTTAAATCTTTTCATCACAGATAATAAATGACGGTCATCAATGTTAATCATGAAAGTAATGTTGCTCCATTTAACATCTTTACATTTAATAATCGATAGTAATAGTAACACACATATTTAAACAGCTATTTATAATTATCTTGATGATTATTTGTTTTTAAAACATGATGATTGTTTCCGTATATTAATAGTTTGTATCTGGTTTTGCAACACAAAAAATAGAGGCATTAATAATAACTATTTAATATGTGGGGTAGTTACCAGTGATGACCTACGGAACCGAGACGTGGTCGTTCACTGCTGGCCGTATGAGGAAGCTCAAAGTCGCTCAGCGAGCTATGGAGCGGGCTATGCTCGGTATTTCTCTCGTGATAGAGTTCGTAACGAAGACATCCGCAGTAAAACTAAGATAACCGACATAGCTCAGAGGATTAGCAAGCTGAAGTGGCGATGGGCCGGCCATATAGCTCGTAGGACCGATAACCGTTGGGGAAGAAAGGTTCTCGAGTGGCAGCCTCGTACTGGCCATCGCAGTGTAGGACGACCCCCCACTAGATGGAGTGACGACCTGTGCAAATGTGCGGGAAGTCGATGGATGCAGGTGGCTCAGGATCGTACTTCATGGCAGTCTATGGGGGAGGCCTATGTTCAGCAGTGGACTCAAACAGGCTGAAATGATGATGATGATGATGTGGGGTAAATATCATGTTATATAGCACCGTAACCGTAAACGCAAATATGGGATTTTCGTAATAGAAATCTATCCGAAATAAAAACCCAATCCGATAGAAAGTTTCGAATAATTACGGTCAACGAAGTAATAATAAAAAAGAAGTAATAATAATAAAAATAATAAAGTAATAACAAACAACAACAATAAATACACTCTAATACGATCTGTACAGAGTTTGCCCAGCAGTGACATATATAGGCTGTTAATTTAATTTACTTACTCCACGCATTGGTATCCTAATATAATACAAAACAGTAAGCAGAGACCCTTTGCTTTCCCTGGATAGGTATAAATATATATTGCAGCGTCATATGCGAAAGATGACATTAAACAATCCGTCTTAGACTGTGTTGTAACTGTCCCCATTACTATATGAATAAACCATTTTATATATTTTTTCTTCTCCAAGATAAAATAATGATCTTTCCAAAGACTATTTCTTGTAAACTCTGAGCCCTTTTCTCAGTTCACAGTTCATGATGACATCCTGGTGACAGACGGACAGCGGAGTCTTAGTAATACGGTCCCGTTTTACCCATTGGGTACAGAACCCTAAAACGTTATAAGTTTAGTCTTTATTTATGTACATTGAGTAATGTTCGATGTTGCACGAATCAGCCAGTTCGTCCAGGTAAGTACCATAGACCTCACAGAAGACCAGCGTGAAGTGGAAGTATTATACTTTTGTGATGCGTCTGGTGAGTGAGACAGCCAGGGTCGATTTTACGACCACGACTCGCGTTGATTTCTTTCACCCCGTGTTGTGAATCAGCACACAAAATGAATACATGCTCAGTGTAACGAATATAAAGGTGCTCTTAGCATGTTTTTATATTTTTTTAAATGTGCATGTTAAACCGAAAGGTCATCAAAATAAACAAGTATACCACCTGCGTATGAATCAAATCCAACTGTAGGTTATATGATTTTTGATCACTTGGTAGGCATACAGAAACTTCGGAAACCTACGTTCATCGTAAAAATATAAATAAAATGTGGTCATATAGTTCAATGAGACAGATAGAAAAGAAGACTACCAGAAAAATTTTTAGGCGGGGTGTTTGAAAATTTTGCAGCGTAGTTTTAAATCACCAGCTCGAATTAAAGAAAGAGTAAATTCGTATTTGTCGATGTATAAATGCTATTCAGATACAATATACGGAGTCGAGACAATCGACGTAGCCAATCGCAAGTGGCTATTAAAATGAAATCTCAAATTTTCTTTTTAAAACGGCTTTATTGGCATCAGTGACCTTCGTCGATGGTCATGGTCATGGAGTCTGGCTCGTATTCGTGGTCGATGACGCGCGATTTGACGATCTGCTTGTAGACGAACGCCGACTTCCTGGGCGTGCGGCTGCGCGCTGGATCCTCGAAGTCCACTTGGTAGAGACCGAAGCGTTCTCTGAAACAGTGGGTTTTTTATGTTTCTCTATATCTTGCTAACACGGTTGGCGAATCGGTTCTAATTCAGGACGTGAAATAAATGAAATAAAATACTTAAACTTCCGGTTCTTGGTAGAGCGTTTGAATCTTATATCCCAATCTCGTGAGATTCAACGCCTCAAAACGCAGGCTTGTGTCTATTCCGGAAAAAGGAGCCTCTTCCCCTTGGCTTCTACTTTTCGGAATGTGTCCTTCGATTATACCGACTGCCTTCAGTTGTTGGGAGTCGAAATATCCTCAAAGCTCAACTTTGGGCGGTTCATTGAGTCTAAAGCTAAGTAGCTTCTAGGAAGTTAGGTGTCCTTGCAAAGGTGAGACAGTATTTCACACCGAATCAGCTTCTTACTCGATATAAAGGTCAAGTCAGATCGTATGTAGAGTGCTGGTGCCACATGTGGTCTGGGGCTGAAAGTGCCATCTGGCTGACCGCGACGTGGTTAAAACCAATCTCACTAGCCTTGCACGGGCGCAGAGTAGCTATCCTTTGGTTTCCTACAGGATGCATTTTGTGAGAGTGTGCATTGCAGCTGCACGATTTGATTCCTAGCGGACCTTTCCACCATCGGACAACAAGACGTTTGGCGGGGCTCCACCCTTTTTCTGTCGACGTTCTACGCACAAGAACGAAGCGATTGGCTTCGTCATTCATCATCCGTACAGCTAAGGAATGGAACAACCTGTTGGCGTCCATCTTTCCTTCCGATTACAACGTAGGCGTATTCATGGTAAGATTGAATAGGCTTTTACTATGTTAGCACGCTTATCATCAACGACTGCATCGTCACTTACCATCAGTGGGTTGGCGTTCTAGCGCTGGCAAAGAAAATTCAAGTTACAAATAAAAGTTAAGCTGAAAATAGAGTAAAGTAGTAAAACTCGTTTAATAGTTGAACTCACGTGTAGCCTTCCATCCACTCGAAGTTGTCCATCAGGCTCCAGGCCATGTAACCCTTCAGGTTCACGCCTGCATCGATAGCATCGAGCGCATTCTCCAGAGCCGCCCGGTAGTACCGGATCCTGTCGTCATCCAGGAGACCAGCCCCTGGCGGGCTGGACCAGCCGTTCTCCGTTATGTAAAACGTTGGACTGTTGTACTTCTCCTTGAGGTGGGTGAGCGCGTTGAGCATGCTGTCTGGCGCTTGCTGAAATATATTCATATTATTGTCATTAGAATTTGTCTAAGATATAAAAGATATGAGTATCAATCTCATAAAATTATGCAATAATAGTAATGAGATTTAATTCGATTACAAAAGAGCCAAGTTTACAGTAAATTTATCACTATAAGCACATAATATGAACATACATAACAAAAAATACATACAGTCGAACATAGAAGGCCCCGGCTACCTCACCCTCCAGTCGAAACGCAGAAGTATAACACGCAGAAGTATATAAGAAGAAACACAGAAATATAACACTTCCACTTCACTCCGGTCTCCTATGAGGTCGTGATACTTCCCCGGACGGACCAGTCCATTTGTGCAATAGGGAACTATTGCGTGGGCCTACCATAGATGGGGTTTGCGGTGAGTCAGAGTTTGACACCTGTGTAGGTTTATTTAAAACATCGCATAGGCTTTTTTGAGAATCTCCAACTGGGCTTCGCGGTTAGATAGCCCTTCACCTTCAGATCGCAGGTTCTTAGGCTGACCTGCGTATTCTGAGGGGAGGATGATGGGGCTAAGTTCTGCTCTCCATTTCCCTTTGCTTGCGGCAAACGTAGCCACACTACAGCAACCACAACCGAGTGGGTCGAGTGGATATCTGTTTTCGTCCTCTCAACAGCCTTAAATGTCCATCATAGCGAATATAGCGAAATATCAGACATAATGGCTCTTCGACCACGTACAAATGATCTTATCAACAGAGATCGTACCACGAAGTTCATGGTCAAGCGTCGTTGGGAGAGGCAAATTTCAGTAGTCTTTACTGGATTCTTGCTTGTAATTAATATAATTTTGTCACTATACCACGAAGAATTTACTCACTATCAACCACGAAGATGCAGCCACGGGCCAATCGTCTGGTGCATAGCTGGTCGCGCCAACGTCATCACTCAAGGAAGGCACTATGAAATCTCCACCACTGGCTGACACAAGTTGAGCCGTGTAATGGTTCACTCCGAAGAAATCAGCGGCGCCCCTGACAAAGGCCCTCTCTTCGTCAGTGAACTCTGGCATCCGGGACCTCGGGTATCCCTGCTCCATGCTCTTTTGGGCGACCCTCTCAGAGAGCTCCTTGGGGAAGCCGCCTTGTTCGGAGAAGATCGGTTCCGCGTATAATCCCCACTGGAGCAAAAGTTGTTATCAAAGCAAAGAACTTTTAGACCTGCTCCTACAATCGATAACATTTAAATTGTTTTTTTAATTAATATCTTTTAATACCATATATATTCTTCCAAACTAAGTAGAAAAGCAATATGATAATCAAAGAGTATTGCTGTAGGACAGGTCAACCCACATCTGGCGCAATAGTTTCTCTATTCAGCGCCAGTGCAAAATGAAATAATAATAATTGATAATCCAAATTGAAAATATATACATATTTCCCAATTTCAAGTCACTTTTTAAGCAAGAAATGTATGTAATAAGTAAATACATTCATGGTGATTAATTGAAAAAAATCTTCTGAAATATTCTTCAATAATTTATTAATTCAATTAAGTAATATAGTTTACCCACCCGTCCTTGTCTAAAGAGTTCAGCTGCGATCTGATCTTCTTCAGATTCGGTGTTCGCATCGAACCAGTTAACGCTGATGGTAATACCACATTGTCCGCCTTGGCTCGGGGCGAAATCATTCCTGTATGCGTGGTAGGCCCTAGCGTGTGCTAAAACCAGGCTCTTGGCACAAAGGTACACGCCGACACCGGTGGCATTTAACTGCGGGGCTTTCAACGTCAAATCATAACCTTGGAAGCAGATCTCCATTGGCTCATTAAAGGTGATCCAGTGCTTCACCCTATCACCGAAGTGTTCGAACACAACCCTCGCGTAGTCTTCGAACCAGTCCGGGAACAGTGGGTTGACGAAACCTCCTAACTCTTGCAGTTTCTGGGGTAGGTCCCAGTGGTAGAGAGTGATCATCGGCGTGATGCCGTACTTTAGCATTTCGTCGATGTAATTGTTGTAGAAAGTGACGCCTGCTTTGCTGACCCTATTGGAAAAGCCATCAGGCAGGATTCTGGACCAAGAGAGAGAGAATCGGTACGCATCCAAGCCAAGCTCACGCATCATCTCGACATCGCGTTTGTAGTTGTGGTAGGTGTCGGCAGCGATATCGCCATTACTCTGATCTTTGATCACATGAGGCTTGGTGTGAGTCATGTGATCCCAGATGTTCTCTCCCTTGTCTGAAACAATTAACACACAATCAATGCATTGTACTCTTCTATTTAAGAACATGTGATAGTCCTAGATTTTATATATATTTAATTGTGATGAGAAGGTATTAGATGAAGATAACCAAAAATAGAAACAAATAAAGATAGTTGGAGAAGCTATTAAGCTATAAAACATTCACTGTAATCAAACTCTTCCTTCGAATCATCTTTTGCGTTGACTTCGATTTCATGATCAGAAATATTATTTCCGATTGAGTTTCAAGTTGAGCACTTAAAAACAAAATATTTTTTTTTATGTTAGGTATGCGAGCTGGCATCTATCTTGACGTTAGGTTATAACCGCGGCTCATTTACATTTGCAACACCCTTAGGGTTGCGTTGCCTCTTTTTAATAAAGTGACCTACCTCACTCAACAGACGAAACGCAGAAGTACATACCATTTCCACTTCACGCTAGTTTTCTATGAGGTCCTGTACTTACCCGGACGGAGTTGCCGGAATATTAGGTTGTGGCATATATAGCAAGCTTCATTCGTATTAAATCGAGAATATGATTATGTACAATTATTTTTTTGTTGGAACACATCGCTGTAGAAGCTTCTTTGTTAGAAAAATATTTATATTAAACTTATGATGACTTTGGAAGCACCTCATTCATCATCTCCTCGGCGGAATACTGATAGAAACTGTTGCTAAAATTGTTATTAGTGATAAATGCCAAAATGCTAGGATGATGAAACATTGTTTCATGCTTTGGCTTCTGCCAATAAATTATCTTAACCAAAAGCTGGCTTTATTTATTGGTACAGTTAAGAAGAGTAGGACCGATGGTATAGTAAAAAAGTAAAGCAACAGCCTTTATATATGTCCCACTGATGAGAAAAAGGTCTTCTCTGTACAGAGGGTATTAAGCCATAGATATTCCACCACGCAATCGCACTTCGGATTGGCGGACTTCATATATCTGCGAAATATTTTTTTTTATTATTATTTCCTTCGCTAAACATCGGAGAACATGGCGGATTTTTTTTTTCGGATTTCTCTTTTAAACCGATCTTAGATGGCAAGTTTCACACCCCACGGTTATTCTATCACGGTTTCCTGCATTGTCCCCTAGTTGACTACCTACCTGGCCATTAAGCCGTATTCATTGTTTTTGGTATGTACGATTACGCTCAGTGGCTGTCTAATACTATCTGGCAAGAATGTTAATATTAAATTACCATCCGCGTTCCATCCTCCCTCTATTTGGTAGGAGGCAGTCGCCGTCCCGAAGAGGAAATCATCGGGGAACCTGCGCTGCTGTTTCGTGCTTAGAGCACAGCATCCTGCCAAACAAAATCTGAAAAAACAAAGACAGAATAGGTACACTAAATACAAAACTTTGACGATACCAGTCGCCTAACGTAACTTACCCTATAGCTATTAACAACTTCATCCTAACCTCTTTCCGCTTTCTGCGTATCGGAAAGTGCGATAGGGATTTATATAGTGCAAGATCTGCAACTTTATCTGCAGCGCTTGAGATACTGTGGGATAACTTCGAGTTTATCTCAGACAGCATGTCATTAAATAAGTACGGAGAGTTATTTAAAAACAAATGCACATGCAACAAAATTCACGTGAACACTATTATTACTAGTCATTCGGCCAAGGTGCTTGTCGGAATAGAAGAGAGCATTGCCGTTCACGAAGGCCGCGGGCTTGACTTGTGGGTCTTTAGGGATATAAATAATAGTGTGTGTCCATTATTTAATTACGTCCTGATTAATTATTCCACCTCGTGATTATTTAATATCCAATTAAGAGGGAGAAGACTTAAAGACAAGTACGCCATCTTGATTACTGTCTTTTAAGGCTTACCGCCACCCATAGTCATGTAGGAAACACGTCAAAGATGACACGAAGAAACATGGACAACCAAAATTTATAACTTACTAGCGACCTGCCCCGACTTCGCACGGGTGCAATGTATCATACATATATCCCATCCTCTTGAATCACTCTATCTAGTAAAAAAACCGCATTAAGATCCGTTGCGTAGTTCTAAAGATCTAAGCATACATAGGAACAGAACAGAACGACTTTGTTTTATACTATGTAGTGATACTTCACGCCGGTCTAATGTGAAACCATGGCACTTCCCCGGCCAAGCATATTCAATCGTTCAACAGCAATTGCTGCTCTTTGGCCCTACATAAATTTAATGCCACTCTTTAATTTAACGCAAAACCGCAATGTTTAAAAATACTGCTTTACTGATTTCAAAGAATTGAATTTTATGTAGTTATTTTTTACTTCAACTGCAATTGCAATCATCATTGTAATTAATAAAATTAATTCGGAAACCTAACATATCACCGATACCCTGCAAGCCTTTAAAATTAAAGAAACATTTATTTACCAAAAAAAGGATGCACACAACAAAAGTGAAAAAAAAACTTTATTTAACAAAAAATAAAAGAAAGAATAAATACTTATCAATAATGAAGTAAAGCAGAAGGACACCTACATAATTAAAATATTAAACAAATGTAAAATAACTTTAATAAACAAAAAATATTGTACGCCCTATTCTGGTAAATTAGTTCAGCAGCTCAGCATTATGCTGTGTCGGAAGTCAAGGCCCCAACACAACGCTGATTTTCAGTGCTGACCAAATGCAATAGCAATGGGCGGCGAAGACTGAAATTGACGGTAGCCAAGATTGAAAGTATTACCAGGATGTCAGAAATAAGCTGTGTTGTAATCCGTAAAATGCTTATAAATATTGAGTTCGTATTCTGTATTACTATTGTATTTTTCGAATAAATTAATATATTATAAAATTATAGAAGTAAACGAGTTTATGGAGATAAATATGGATCATGACTCGACAAAAAACAGCGTGTGTCAGGCAAACACCTAACTAAGATAATGCTTCTTTGGCGTAACTATGAACATATTTTTGATGTGTAACATTTTATTTTTTTTTTTCATTTCCTCTCGCTTCCCTGCAGTTTGTGGGAGAAATTTTGTGAATAGAGACGGATGTGTGTAACAGGAAGCCAGCAAGCCCTATTTCATTTAACCAACCGTATACCCGATCCATTTTCAGACTTTGGTATTGCCAGCCATCAATTGCGCGTTTAACTTGCTGCTAACACCCTAATTTCAATAGAGAACAGGGTTGGGTACTACCATCAGCTTGGGATCCTGTCATCAATAAAATTAAATCTAGGCCCAAACGAACCACTACTGCAAGACAAGAAACAATTAGCTCCCTCTGCATAGATCGGACACGAAATTAATAATTCAAAAACAGACGGTAGGGTTAACTATGACAATCAGACGTCTAACACCTCAGTCTGTCCCGTGACTATGAACGCTGTAAAGGTTTCGAAACGTCGGGAATTAAAATTAAAAATAAACGCGATAAATCCGTTTTTAAAAAATGTAAAATTAGTTTCATTTATAATGTGTAGTCACGTAAATATAAGAAATTATCATGATTTCATGTTCATAAATTCTTAAATATTTATGTTAATCATTTTCTTCAAGATATAATGTTATTCTTGTTTATGACCAAGATGAGATGTCAGGTTCGCTCATTTGTTTTAGTATTAAATTAAGTTAAAACTTGGAGAAAAATTAATCTTAAGTACAGAGATTAGCACTATTAAAAACTTTAAATTTTTAAATGAAATATTAAATTAGCCGATGACAAATAAACAAAAGTAAAACTACAAAACTTGAAGAGTAAACACCCTCCATTACGTAATACGCTAAAAAAACAGTTTGATCTATTTTCCCACATGTGCGAAATAATATAGATTTATAAACAAAGAAAAAACACGACTGTCCCGCGAACGCTCGAAACATCGAGAAATGATCGGTAATTTAAAAATCTAATTAAAAGCTATAAAATCCATAGAATAGTTTTATTTTACAAAAAACACTAATTTCAGAACGCCTTTCGTTGAAAGTTATTACGTAATCCACAGTTTATGATTGCAATATATTTAGAGATTTTATATTTTTTTTATATTGAAATTTTTTATGTAAAATTTTAATCCAAATAATTGGAGCACATATTTGATAGTTATATTTATTATCACTCTCTTCACATAATTCAGTTATTTTGAATACCAATACCTTATTTTTATCTTAAAGGACACACCAAATACTGAAAAACGTCTATACGAGTAATTGTTTTTTCCTTATGTCCTGCCATTAGGATAGATAAAGGCTACACTACTGACATTTTCATCTTCTTGATATATGTAGTACTATGTACGTTTGTATATATTTGTGTATATATAAATATGTATATCATTTATATAATATCTATCTACTGTGTATATATTCTATATAATATTTTTCGATACTTCTCATTTGGCTCTCTCGCACGTCCATACTTTCTCTATTTATTTCTCATTTGATTGGTAAGGAATTGGTGTTAAGTCCACCATTGTACGCTATTAGTGCTAAAAGTATTTTAAACTAGCTGCTGCCCGTGACTACGTCTGCGTAGAATAGGCTGAATGCGTAACATTCAGATATACATAAAATATGTATATAAATTAAAGCATATGTGTTATTCTGATGTATAAACTATATTATTGTAAAGTTTCATTAAAATTCATTCGATAGTATTTGCGTGAAAGAGTAACAATCATACATACATAGAAAATTTCGCGTTTATAATATTGGTAAGGAAAAATAAATAACCTACCTATCATAATTTGTTTCTAATCTTATGTCTGGGTTTACTGGAAGAAAACTCTTTTTAGGGTTAAGCTCGCCTTTGTACATTATTTGTTTATTTTAATTTTGTTTTCTCTAATACTTTGTGTACAATAAAGAATAATAGTAATAGTAATAAATGCCGTGCCAAACACAGCCGTAAAGGAACATTGCTTCAAGCCACAGCAGGTGCACAACTATAGGACATCGGGTTCCAGTGCGTCTTCCACTGCCGTAGCGTCTGCTATCACCTCCCAAAAACAAATCTAATTACACTATTGCTGAGGCTGATCTCCGACTCTATGCCACTTGACAGATCTGAACCGCCTTCTCCAAAGTGAAATCATCCTTAGATTGGCGTGGGGAGCGGTGAACCAGCTCCGTGCGCCAGAGGGTGTGGGTCTGATCCCCACTACTGGAAAAATATTGTGATGAACATAGTGTTTTCCAATGTCTGGGTGTTTAATAATTAGTACCTGGAGGACCGGCTTTTTTGGTAAATCATATATTTTGGAAATAAAAAAGTAAAGAAAATGATCTGGTATAGAAAAAAAAGTAAAAAAAAAAAATAAGTGTGTAAATGATCGTGATACGAACCGCGGCCGTCTGAATTATGGTTGGTCTGAATTATCTGGTTAGGGGCCGCCTGAGTACCAACCGAGCTATTATAACATTTTTTTTGCGCCGAAATTTACTGTCATATTCGAATGATATTTTTCATTCCATGAAAACAGGGATAAAAGGACATTTTCTAAAAATGAAACCTACCTAGATCGATTTTTCGCCCCCGAATCTATGCACATACAAAATTTCATGAAAATCGCTGGAGCCGTTTCCGAGATTCTGATTATATATATATACAAGAATTGCTCGTTTAAAGCATAAGATAAAATATATCCATGAAAAATGTTATTATAACTATAATTAAACGGGACTATAAGTAAAATGACCGGTGATTTCAGATTATTTAAGAAAGCGTCTTGTACTCGTATGTAGATACTCAGTCTTGTGTCTGGTTTCTTATGCTTTGTCGACGGATTTTTTGAATTCTTCCATTTCATGCTCATTCGCCGATTCTGTTGGTGCCCATAGTTAATTTGTATGATGGCGGCTATAGTCATGGATATGCATGCTTAGTACTGCGACACCTACCCTGTATTTGCCTTGTGGCCAGCCTACGTAGCATAATGTTCTCGTGTTCTTCTATTTTAGTATCTAGTCGTTTTATTTCCGAGATTCTTAATACGTACGGCTTAATCTCTTTTATTCATTATTCTAATTCTAATAATCGGTTATATGGTGAAAAAGATCTAACATAGAAGTTGCAATCTGTATTTCGTGAGGTTTTTTATTCATATTTTTATTTTATCCAAATAGGTAATATTGGTATCCTTGTTTAATTCCTAGGATTGTAATATTTTCCCCTTTTGAAAAACGGACGGATTATGATAGTCCTCATTTTGGTATTTTCATTTCTATATCTAAAAGTTTATTAAGTGTGCTTTGTGTGTGTAGAGCTTATTTCATTTTTTTTAAATCTGACATACGAATAATATCAACTCATGGTGAACTCATTTTATTTAAAACATTTTTATTGTTTGGTTAGATTCTACAATCAATTGCGGTCCAAAATTAGGTTCCATTCCACCGTCAGAGGCGGCTCTTGGATCGTGTCGTGTTCGCCGTTGTTCGATAATTTAACAATAATATTTCGATAACAGGTGTTGCTGAGATGCAAAGAAGCTAGAAGAAGGAGATATACGTTTCTCTTACATATAGTTTCACTCCTTTATATTATTATTTAATTATTCATTAAATACATTAAATATGTCACCAGTAAACGCAAATAAACATGGAAGCATTAAGTCGCTCCAAAATGACATAACGAAAAACTACACCGTTTTTTTGTTGTTTTTTTTTGGGCTTGATGAGCGACACGTTGGCCTTAGGGGCCATTACAGTTTCGCCGGACTTGAGGTAGCCGGGCGCCCGGGGCGCCTAGCCTTAACCTACGGCGTATTATTATTACGCGTTATGGTGACTAAGTTCGAGGGTTCCCGAGGGAGCCTCAGCTCGGGGCGTCACGCTATTATTATCACCGGTTTGGGAGGCCGCCAAGCTCTTAGGGCGCTTTGGCAGACGCTCCATGGAGTTACTAGGCTCAAGGGCCGCCGAGAGGGGACCTCGGCCTGGGCTGTCCCTCAATACCCGTTTAGCATTCCGATTCGAGGGTGCCCGAGAGGGCCGGACCTCGGTTCGATCTTTAGCTATTATCTAACTGGTACTATATTGTGACGGCGCGGGGCTTATATACCGCACCGCGAGGCGGTTTCAGGGATGTAGACTTAGTTAAACTAACAAATAAGTTCATTTTTGTTTGACGCCGCGTGAATACTGTCAGTGAGAGTTGTGGTGCTATTAATTAACAATCACTTGTCAGCTTCCATGTTTCATTAGCATTTCACTCATTTTTAACACACAGGTAAAATTAGTAAAACATTGCTTCAACCATATCAAGGAAAATTATGCTGCAACAGTTTTCTTAGAAAGCAGGGTGATCACGTACTTCCGTATTTTGAATACAAAATTACACTTTAACTGAATTGATATTTGCACGGGAAACTCGAATGCTATTTCCGACCGCGACTCCCTTTGATTTTCTTCACCCCGTTTGTTATTGTGATTCAGCACATAAAATGACTACCAGTAATTTCAATGGTACCAGTGTTGAGTGTTTAGAATACGAATGTAAAGGCGTTCTGACCATGCTACCACCCTACGATTGGATCATGTTTTCAATAATTAGCTTTCGTTTGTGTCTCTTCGGGTAATTTTTTTTTGTTTTAATCAAAAATATATTTTTTCAAATAGACGCTTGCGCGTTCTTATGAATCGTCAAATTTTACATTATACATAAATTAACACCAATTATATATAAAGGTTCGTAAGGTTTGGAAAGCGGTTTCTGTTGAGAAGAGACTGGCAAGAAACTCAACAGTTGCTCTTTTTCAAAAGTATCAGCTTACAATATGACATACAGGTATAATAGTGTTATTCTAGCCTACGTGCGTATCAACAGAATTAACACCACACATTGGCGTCGTTGAAATATCCCGCAATGATATAATACGCTTTAACCATAAGTTGACTTTCAATTTTACGTTTAAATTGATCAATCGGTGGGATTTTATAGTAAATCCGCACACTTTGCCCCATGAACGACCTATTTACTTTTTGTAGACGAAACAATAGCGTGGTAAGTTTGTTCTTATTTCTAGTTTGTTTTATGTCTGTCGTTTTAAACGAATCCAACTATATTTTTAATGATTTTTGACCGAATGTTAGACACACAGAAACGTTGGAAAGCTACGTTCATCGTATAAACAATTATATAATTCTTGAGACAGCTAGGAAAGAAGACTGATCCAGAATTTTTTTCAGCGGGAAGTTTGCACATTTAGTTTTAAATCATGTAGCTCCAATTGAAGAAAGAGATTAATCATTTTGTGTTGAATATCGCAATTCAGATGCAATATGCACAGTTGACACCGCCGATTTAGCATGACAGTCGCAACTGGTTATTAAAATAAAATCTTAAATTTTCTTTTTAAAACGGCTTTATTGTCATCAGTGACCTTCGTCGATGGTCATGGTCATGGAGTCCGGCTCGTATTCGTGGTCGATGACGCGCGATTTGACGATCTGCTTGTAGACGAACGCCGACTTCCTGGGCGTGCGGCTGCGCGCTGGATCCTCGAAGTCCACTTGGTAGAGACCGAAGCGTTCTCTGAAACAGTTCGTTCGTGACGTATTTAAAAAAAACCTTCCAAAAACAGTTCTAATTCAACACATTAAATTTAGGTATCTAAAGCGTAACATACCACGATATCAAGTGGTACGCCAATATGTTGTGCTTAGCATTTTGTTCCGTGGGTTGTGGGTTAAACAAAGGGACTAGACAACAATAAAAAAAAAGAAACTAGACTGCAGTACTAAAAAAGGTATTGAAAACATACAATGTTGCGCCAAAAGACGACCTTGATATTCGGGCAAAACTAACTACATATTTATTTATTAGTATAATGTTAGAACGTGGAACTTCGTGGTCAATCCAGTCCATCATAAGCCTCTAGTAAAATTTTCTTGTTAATTAATTTCTGGACGGATTTACGCGTAATGGCGGTTTGAGACATCAATAACAGCGACAAGCTTGGACAGCTTGAAACTATTTCGTCCCTAACATTAACCTTCAATAGTTGCAGTCAAAATTGCTCGGGAGCGTTGTTTTAAGCTATTGGCATCGCTGACGGGGTCGAGGGTTCGATTCCTACATGGGACTAGTATTTGAGTGACCCACAGGTAATTGTTCGGGATCTGGGTGTTTGTTTCTCAAGGAGGGTTGACATCAGGCAGGTGACCGACGTAAATAACGTAGCCAATACCGCTTACAGCATGATTCACATGTTGTGCTAAACCTACCTAAGTGGGATAAGTGCAGGAGAATGACGATGATGATGATTTACAGTCAAAATGAATAAAGAGTTGCACTTACGTGTAGCCACTATTCCACTCGAAGTTGTCCATCAGGCTCCAGGCCATGTAGCCCTTCAGGTTCACGCCAGCGTCGATAGCATCGAGAGCACTCTCCAAGGCCGCCCGGTAATACCGGATCCTGTCGTCATCCAGGAGATCAGAGTCTGGCGGGCTGGACCAGCCGTTCTCCGTTATGTAAAACGCTGGACTGTTGTACTTCTCCTTGAGGTGTGTGAGTGCGTTGAGTATGCTGTCCGGCGCTTGCTAAAGAATGGTCGTTTGAAATTCATTAGAATACGCGATTCTAATGAAAACTATCAAAAAAAATATCTAACGGAAGAAGTTCTCCAGTATGCTTTTCAAAAAGCGTGACGTCAGCTGCGCCGACGTCACTTTGCACACTATCCTGACGGTCACTCATAGTACCACTGATTAAAACTCCAAGTAACTCTTTACACAAATTAATTCAAGCACAAAGTAATAATGTCACTTAAATGGATCCGTACAGTTCAACGACTGAAACAGTAATGCCTAGGTCGGCTCTCGTACTGTAATTTATAGTAGGTGAATCAAGTCAATTGATCAACTATATCATCAAACTTAATTGTTAAAGTCTGTTAACAAAATGAGTAAACAATTAATTCGCTTGTGATTTAAATCATAGCATCATTAAACTAAACCCTAAATAATAATAATAATCGTTTTTGACATTAAGTTTCTGCGCCGACATATCTTATAAATTTCTTTCTATGTTAAGTGCTAGAGCCACACATAGGCTTTTAACCGAAAACCGGGGAAATTCTACTCTTACGGAAGATTTACATAAATTATGTGTAATTATTTCTGCTTTTCTTTCGGTTAGTGCGATTACCTCTCCTATGTATAACGCCCACCCCTTCCACTTAAACTAGAGACGTCAAAGCTGGCCTTGATATTTCTTAAAGAGACTTAAATATCTTCTCCGATTCAATACAAATTCTTTATTTCGCGCCCTGCGAACTCGAAAACTTCTGTGTGACCCGGATACATGTTTTTGTCTCGTAATTCAGTTCTTCCTTTAACGGGCCACGCAGCAGCTTCGGCCGTTGCACGAATGGGCAGGTCCGTCCGGGGAAGTACCACGACCTCACAGAAGACCGGTGTAAAGTGGAAGTATGACAAGTACTTTCGCGTTTCGTCTGGTGAAGGAGGTAGCCGGAGCCCCATTTTCAAAAGGTTGTCAATGCCTCTGTAACGCTCGGGTGTAGCAGATGTCCATGGGCGGCGGTATTCACGTACCATCAGGTGAACCGTCTGCTTTTCACATAAAAAAATTATATTCGCAGAGATAGTGAGGCCTTGTAATTAATATGAATACGTTACTATGCAACAAAAAATCAACTTACTATCAACCACGAGGATGCAGACACGGGCCAATCGTCTGGTACAGAGACGGTCGCGCCAACATCATCACTCAAGGAAGGCACTATGTAATCTCCGCCGTCGGCTGACACAAGTTTAGCCGTGTAGTGGTTCACCCCGAAGAAATCGGCGGAACCCCGGACAAAAGCCCTCTCTTCTTCAGTGAACTCTGGCATTCGGGACCTTGGGTATCCCTGTTCCAAGCTCTTTTGGGCGACCCTCTCAGACAGCTCCTTGGGGAAGCCGCCTTGTTCGGAGAAGATCGGCTCCGCATATAACCCCCACTGGAGCAAAAGTTATTAAGACAATATTCAAATAAATATTTATGACATGTATTTAAACACATCCTTCCTAGTCCCAACTAAGTGAAGGAAACAACAAACTAAGTATTGGTACATATTGGTAATTAATTGACATAAGTAATAATACAATTCTGTAAGTAATAAAGTTCCCCCACCTCTCCTTGTCTGTAGAGTTCAGCTGCGAACTGATCTTCTTCAGTGTCGGTTTTCGCACCGAACCAGTTAACGCTGATGGTGATACCGCATTGCCCGCCTTGGCTCGGGGCGAAATCGTTCCTGTATGCATGGAAGGCCTTGGCGTGTGCTAAAACGAGGCTTTTGGCACAAAGGTACGCGCCGACACCGGTGGCATTTAACTGCGGGGCTTTCGTTGTCGTATCGTAACCTTCGAAGCAGATCTCCCTTGGTTCATTGAAGGTGATCCAGTACTTCACTCTATCACCGAAGTGTTCGAACACAACCCTCGCGTAGTCCTCGAACCAGTCCGAGAAAAGTGGGTTGGCGAAACCTCCCAACTCTTGCAGCTTCTGAGGTAGATCCCAGTGGTAGAGAGTGATCATTGGCGTGATTCCGTACTTGAGCATTTCATCGATGTAATTATTGTAGAAAGTGACGCCCGCTTTGCTGACCCTGTTGGAGAAGCCGTCGGGCAGGATCCTGGACCAAGAGAGAGAGAATCGGTACGCATCCAAGCCAAGCTCACGCATCATCTCGACATCGCGTTTGTAGTTGTGGTAGGTGTCGGCAGCGATATCGCCGTTACTCTGATCTTTGATCACATGAGGCTTGGTGTGAGTCATGTGATCCCAGATATTCTCTCCCTTGTCTAAAACAATTAACACACTCAATACCCAATTTAAGAACAGTTGATGGCATATATAGCAAGCTTCATTTGTATTAGATCAAGAACATAATTATGTACAATTTTTTTTTTGTTGGAACACATCGCTGTAGAAGCTTCTTTGCTAGAAAAATATTTATATTAAACTTATGATGACTTTGGAAGCACCTCATCCATGACCTCCTCGGCGGAATACTGATATAAACTGTTGCTAAAATTGTTATTGTGATAAATGCCAAAATGCTAGGATGATGAAACATTGTTTCATGCTTTGGCTTCTGGCTTTTGGTTAAGATTACAGTTAAGAAGAGAAGGACCGATGACATAGTAAAAGAGTAAAGCAACAGCCTTTACATTTATAGAGGGTATTAAGGCATATATTCCACCACGAAACCGCACTGGACTTTATATATCTGCGAAATATTTTTTTATTATTATTTCCTTCGCTAAACACCGGAGAACATGGCGGATTCAGAATTATCAACTTTTTATTACGGATTTCTCTTTTAGACCGATCTTAGATGGCAAATCTTATACACCACGGTTATGCTATCACGTTTTCTTTCGTGGCCATTAAGCCGTATTCATTGTTTTTGCTATGTATGATTACGCTGAGTGGCTTTCTACCACTAATTGACAAGAATGTTAAAATCAAATTACCATCCGCGTTCCATGCTCCTTCTATTTGGTAGGATGCAGTCGCCGTCCCGAAGAGGAAGTCATCGGGGAACCTGCGCTGTTGTTTTGTGCTTAAAGCACAGCATCCCGCCAAACAAAATCTGAAAAAACAAAGAAAGAATAGATACATAAACAAAACTTTGACGATACTAGTCGCCAGTATCCTAACCTAACGTAACTTACCCTATAGCGATTAACAACTTCATCCTAACCTCTTCCCGCTTTCTGCGTATCGGAAAGCGCGAAAGGGATTTATATAGTGCAAGATCATACTTTATCTGCAGCTCTTGAGATACTGTGGGATCACTTCGAGTTTATCTTAGACAGCATGTCATTTAAATAAGTACGGAGGGTTACTTATTTAACAACAAATGCACATGCAAAATACGTCACGTGAACACTAGTATTACTAGTCATTCGGCCATGACGCTTGTCGGAATAGAAGAGCAAAGCCGTCGACGAAGTGCGTGGGTTCGATTTATGGGTCTTTAGGGATATAAACAGAAATCAAGGATGTGCTTACGTCTTGATTAAATATTTAATATCATATTAAGTGGGAGAAGACTTTAAGAAACGTACACCATTTTGTTTAAATTTATGTATGGAGGTGGTACTGGTGATTCACCTGATATTATGTCCTACCGCTACCCATAGACATCTAGAAAACCCGTCAAACACCCGGAATGAAGATACATAAAATAAATAAATAAATAAACAACCAAAATTTAAAACTTATACCTCGCGCCGGTCTAATTCGAAAAGGTGGCACTTCACCGGATGAGCATATTCATTCGTTCAACAGAAATTTCTGCTGTTTGGACATTTTCATCTTCTTGACATGTTATGTAATACTATGTTCGTGTGTTTATATTTGTGTGAATATATGTATATTATTTATATAATATTTAAGTACTGTGTTTATTATATTTTATATAATATTTTTTCAATACTTCTCATTTGGCTCTCTCGCACCTACTTACTACCTCTATTTACTTGTCATTTGATAGGTAGGGAATTGGTGTTAAGTCCACCATTGTACGCTGACGTGCTAAAAGTATTTTGAATAAATAAATAAATGCAAGTCGTACCATAAACAGGTTGACGGCCGGAAAGGAACATTGCCTTACGTAACACAGCAGGCGCACGACTACACCATGCCGATGTCACCTCCCGCAGCAACAATTATCAGTACACAATTGCTGAGGCCGATCTCACCTCCCGCAGCAACAATTATCAGTACACAATTGCTGAGGCCGATCTCACCTCCCGCAGCAACAATTATCAGTACACAATTGCTGAGGCCGATCTCACCTCCCACACCAACAAATATCATTACACTATTGCTGAGGCCGATGTCACCTCCCGCAGCAACAATTATCAGTACACAATTGCTGAGGCCGATCTCACCTCCCGCAGCAGCAATTATCATTACGCTATTGCTGAGGCCGATCTCACCTCCCGCAGCAACAATTATCATTACACTATTGCTGAGGCCGATCTCACCTCCCCCAGCAACAATTATCATTACACTATTGCTGAGGCCAATCTCACCTCCCGCAGCAACAATTATCATTACACTATTGCTGAGGCCGATCTCACCTCCCGCAGCAACAATTATCATTACACTATTGCTGAGGCCGATCTCAATTCCCGCAGCAACAATTATCATTATACTATTGCTGAGGCCGATCTCACCTCCCGCAGCAACAATTATCATTTTACTATTGCTCAGGCCCATTTCGACTGTAGGATTTTATTATGCATGCGCACACTTTGTCCCATAAACGACCTATTTACTTTTAAGCTATTGCATAGCTTTTATCGCGGGCTTTGAGCGTGGCGATCGAATCAAGAAATTCCGGAACGAAAATAAAACCTAACACTCCCAACTCCGCCTACCGTGTAAGAGGAAAGATATGATTGTTTGTATGCATTGAATAGGCTCGAAAGCATACAATAATTACCTAAAATATTCTTTACATCACGTGCGCTGCGAAAACTGTTGATGATACAATAAAATAATGTACTACGAATTTGCAGAAGACATCATTATTTACAAAAAGTGTCGCGAAAGCATATGTCTAACTATTATAGTTATGCTACAATAAGTGTTCTTTTATTTTAAAATTTTATTGAAATGCCGCCACTGGAAAAGGCTCTTTATTTCTATCTTGGTATTAATCCTTATAAAAATAAATTACTTCCAACCCATTCATATGCTTTGTGACCTTTACAAATGAACTTTACGTTACAGTTTTATACGTAACGGTGTTCTAAAATTCTTTGTTTCGGAAAATTTTATAACTCTGTAAATATTGATGTTTAAAGAATGTATATGTTTAAAACAATTTTAAAAAGTTATCCTCTATATGTGTGTTCATTTATTGTCGCGGTGGTAACGACACGCTGTATAACTTTTTGAATAATATAAATATTTTATATATTATTAATTATAATTTATATTTATAATTATATTATTAAAATAATATTATTCATTAATATAATATAAATATTAAAGAAAAAAAAATACTGCATAAATAAATAATTATAATTGCATAAGTTGATAAAAGATGCTATGCGGTATTACCGCGGTAGTACCCAAATATCTTATACCTTTAAACGAGCAATTCTTGTATATATATAATCGGAATCTCGGAAACGGCTCCAGCGATTTTTTATTGCTTTCTTTATTTTTTATTACTTGTCGATTTTTTATTCCCTTTATTTTTTTCCCTTTGTATTAAAGTTCTTTCTTTTGTGAAAAACACCAGTACATATTTTCTTACTATTACGTCTGGAAGATTGAAAAATACTATGCATATTTCATTACTCAGTAATTTGTATCTAAATGTAATTTCTAAAATACACGACTTACGAAAAAAAAAATACCTGTCCTCCAGGTATTATAAATATATATAAAATAATTTCAGATATATAAAAGTACTGTTTGGCAGCCCCCGAGTGCCATACTTGTTTTTTTGTAGACGAAACAATGGCGTGGTTAATATATCCTTATTTCTAGTTTATTTTATGTCTCTCTTTTAATCGAGTCCAACTATATGTTTAATGATTTTGACCGAATGTTAGATATACAGAAATGTTGGAAACCCACGTTCATCGTATAAGCAAAATGCAATCATATAATTCTTGAGATAGCTAGGAAAGAATGTTCCTGAAAAAATTTCAGCGGGGAGTTTACACATTTTGTTGCATAGTTTTAAATCATCAGCTCCAATTGATGAAAGAGATTGATTCTTTTGTGTTGAATGATTGCAATTCAGATGCAATATGCGGAGTTGCACCGCCGACTTAGCATGCCAGACGCAACTGGTTATTAAAATTAAATCTCAATTCTTTCTTTTTAAATCGCTTTATTGGCATCAGTGACCTTCGTCGATGGTCATGGTCATGGAGTCCGGCTCGTATTCGTGGTCGATGACGCGCGATTTGACGATCTGCTTGTAGACGAACGCCGACTTCCTGGGCGTGCGGCTGCGCGCTGGATCCTCGAAGTCCACTTGGTAGAGACCGAAGCGTTCTCTGAAACAGTTCGTTCGTGACGTATTTAAAAAAAAACTTTCCAAAAACAGTTCTAATTCAATACATTAAATTCAGGTATCTAAAGCGTACTTGCAACATTTAGGGTAAACAAAGGGACAAGACGAAAATAAAATAAAAATGAAACTAGACTGCAGTACTAAAAAAGGTATTGAAAATATGTAATGCTGCGTCAAAAGTCGGCCTTTTTGATATTCGGGCAAAACTAACCACATGTTATTCATATATAATGGGTTCGTTCAGAAGTTACGAGGGAACATAGGAATGTATACAGCGTGTCGTTACCATCGCGACACTAAATGAACACACGTCTAACGCTACTTGCCAAAAATCATAAAAAATATTAACGTTAAAAAACAGCCATAATTAAAAAAATATTTTTCAAACAAGCTAATTAAGTAAAAAGAAACAAAATTTGTAACATCCTATACAACTCGCGCCACGGCGTCGCATTACAAGCCTCTCCTTCTAATAGTATGTTTTGTTTTGTTTCTTTTAAATTCATTTTAAATTCATTACAAAGGAACTTTACCAGTTTCATATGATATTCTAAAATTCTTTGTTTTGTGACCTGTAAATATTGATGATTACAAAGGAACTTTACGTTACAGTTTCATTTATTGTCGCGATTGTAAAGACACGCTGTATACATACAGGTCAAAGAATAACCATCCATCTTTGAGTGGTTGTGCAAAAATTTAATGAATAATCTGCTTCATCGGAGGCAGCTGAAGTAAGTAAATGGCGCAAATATGAGTCTTTATGTTTAGATTATGTATTTGTGCCATTTGCTGTTGAAACTTTAGGTCCGTGGGCACATCAAATTTTTTTTAAAGTTTATGTCCTAGGCTTAACGCTGCGGCTGGTGACAAGAGAGCTGGTTCTTTTCTGGCTCAAAGCTAACTATTCAGCGAGGAAATGCAGCTAGCGTTCTTGGCACCATGCCGCGTGGATTAGGTTTATTAGATAATATGTAACTTTAGATAGATTTAATCTTGTAAATATTAGATCAATAAAGATTGTAAATTCTATTAAACATAATAATACAGAATAATAAATGGTATCTGCTTCATACCAATATAATATTAGAACGGTGGTGGTGGTGGTGACTACCTCGTAGTCAATCCACTTCATACAGCTCCAGGTAAAATTTTCTGGTCAGTTAATTTCTGACGACACTAATAACACACAACCGACATGAATAACAGCGACAAGCCCAAGCTTGTCGCTGTTATTGACTGTTATAGCTGCTACTATTGAAGGTCCAAACCTTCAATAGTTGCAGCTATTGGCTTCGGCGTCGTGGGTCGAGGGTTTAATTGCCACACGGGACAAGTATTTGTTTTCCAAGGAGGGTTGACATCAGGCAGGTGGCCGACGCAATTAACGTAGCCAATACAATGTACGTACAATCATTCTCCTGCACTGAACCTACCAAGGTGGGATAAGTGCAGGAGAATGATGATGATGATGAGTTACAGTCAAAATGAATAAAAAGTTAAATAGATTTAATTTATGGCCTAGAAGAGATGCACTCACGTGTAGCCTTCCATCCACTCGAAGTTGTCCATCAGGCTCCAGGCCATGTAGCCCTTCAGGTTCACGCCAGCGTCGATAGCATCGAGAGCACTCTCCAAGGCCGCCCGGTAGTACCGGATCCTGTCATCATCCAAAAGACCGGCCTCTGGCGGGCTGGACCAGCCGTTCTCCGTTATATAAAACACTGGACTGTTGTACTTCTCTTTGAGGTGGGTGAGCGCGTTGAGAATGCTGTCCGGCGCTTGCTAAAGAATGTTCGTATGAGATTCATTAGAATACGTGTATCCAAGATATGAAAAATATAAGGATCAATCCCATACATTATAGTTACTAGATTCAATACGATCTCAAAAGAAAAAAATCACAGTTAATTTATCACTGTTAACACATTACGTTAAATGCTTAAATGGCAAAAGTACGGCTTTATAAATATTAAATATTTCATAAGAAATTTATGGGCCTGAGCTAAAGGATAACTGCCCTAAAGTGCAACGGGAATCATCACTTTTTCCAAAATTATTGAGTGTTACACAAAATATTTTAACACAAAAGGGGAATTCCCTTTGAATATTTTGTGTAGATATTACAACTTTGCATTGTATTGTATTAAATCAAAATGGATCATTAATTATAAAGATGGCCTTGATTTTTCTTACAAAGACTAACATGTCTTCTCCGATTCCATACAAATTCTTTCTTTCCTGCACTGCGAACTCGAAAACTCCTGTGTATCCGCAGAGATAGTGAACAGCATGGCTAAGGTATGGAGTGTAATGGAAGTCTTGTAATTAATATGAATACGTTATTATACAACAAAAACTCACTATCAACCACGACGATGCAGACACAGGCCAATCGTCTGGTACAGAGATGCTCGCGCCAACATCATCAGGCAAGGAAGGCACTACGAAATCCCCGCCGGGTGACACAAGTTTGGCCGTGTAGTGGTTCACCCCGAAGAAATCGGCGGAACCCCTGACAAAGGCCCTCTCTTCTTCAGTGAACTCTGGCATCCGTGACCTTGGGTATCCCTGCTCCAAGCTCTTCTGGGCGACCCTCTCAGACAGCTCCTTGGGGAAGCCGCCTTGCTCGGAGAAGATCGGTTCCGCATACAATCCCCACTAGAGAAAAAAATATTGCGAAATATTTTAAATAATACCTATCTATTACACATCTAGTAAATAAACTAATATTATGCAAAATGTGCCTCAATATATTATTGATAGCTATAGTTTTACATACTCAGTCACTAGGAAACACTACGTTCATGATATAGTACTGTTCCAGTAGTGACGATCGAACCCACAACCTTGGCACAAGAAAGAGTTAATCTACTTAGGCCTTGAATTAAGCGCGAGTTCCAGATAAAATGATAATCATTGGAAATCCATCGTTATCTTTATAATATTTAAGGAAAAGGTGTCCCATGTAACAGTTAATTTAATACAGAATATGTAAATATTAGATAATTAATAGAAATAAGTATTAGTATAAATCTGTGAGTATATCCCACCTCTCCTTGTCTGTAGAGTTCAGCTGCGAACTGATCTTCTTCAGAGTCGGTTTTCGCACCGAACCAGTTAACGCTGATGGTAATGCCACATTGCCCGCCTTGGATCGGGGCGAAATCGTTCCTGTATGCGTGGTAGGCCTTGGCGTGTGCTAAAACCAGGCTTTTGGCACAAAGGTACGCGCCGACACCGGTGGCATTTAACTGCGGGGCTTTCGTTGTCGTATCGTAACCTTCGAAGCAGATCTCCCTTGGCTCATTGAAGGTGATCCAGTGCTTCACTCTATCGCCGAAGTGCTCGAACACAACCCTCGCGTAGTCCTCGAACCAGTCCGGGAACAGTGGGTTGGCGAAACCTCCCAACTCTTGCAGTTTCTGGGGTAGGTCCCAGTGGTAGAGAGTGATCATCGGCGTGATGCCGTACTCGAGCATTTCGTCGATGTAGTTGTTGTAGAAAGTGACGCCCGCTTGGCTGACCCTGTTGGAGAGGCCGTCGGGCAAAATCCTGGACCAGGAGAGGGAGAACCGGTACGCGTCCAAGCCGAGCTCACGCATCATTTCGACATCGCGCTTGTAGTTGTGGTAGGTGTCGGCAGCGATGTCGCCATTACTCTGATCCTTGATCACGTGAGGCTTCGTGTGAGTCATGTGATCCCAGATGTTCTCTCCCTTGTCTAAAACAATTAAAACACTCAATGCACTACAGTCTTCAATTTAAGGTCAGTCTGCGGTAGGTGAGTATCCCTCAAGACTTTATTTAAAAGTGATTGAGAAGGTATTTAATGAATTTCTAGAGAAATGAAGACTGTAGGAAAGCTATATATTTACCCTAAGTTGTTAAAATTAAGACATGGTATATAGCAAACTCCATTACAATCGAGCAAACTGACTGAAAGTTGGTATTAAGACTATAATTATGAACTCATCATACATCATTATAACAATTATGACGACTTTGGAAGAACCTTAATCATTTACAAAATGTTTGAAATTGTTTACACTTAGTTGTTTGTGGATTTCAAATTAAAACGTTTAGAACACCGAACCACATCAGAATTAAAACGTTCAGAAACTCCACATACCCGGGGCGGTAAAGTGGGTTGTGGTCATATTGAGATAAAATATTCAGAAACATCACAGAGTCCGTATTTAACGGTGGGACCATTTAGTTGTTTAACCATTGAGAAGACTGTCCAGTAGTAGGGCTTATACGAAACTGGCTGTTGTTTTAATTCTAGCACTAGGTCAAAAAACCAATTTACTTTTGCCTTGAAGGTGCCCACGTTTTATCCAAACGGAAAGACTGAGGCAAATTGTTTCATTACCCAGCTGCGTGAATAGTGGACGACAAAGCGTAGCTCTCGGTTGGAGTGCATTGATTGTTAAATAATGCGTGACGTACCAACGCTCTTGAAACTAGTGTTAGATATTGTATAACCTAGTTACTACAATTCTTATACAACATTCTAATAACGCCAGAGTTTAGATAGTTTACTGGCTTAGTGATAAGAGGTGAAGCGATAGTATCGAGAGAACAACATGTGATAACTTGGCTACCCTTCTGTTCTCAGCTACTCTGGATCGCTTAATAGCTGGAAAGGCAGTTGTTTCCGTAGATAAAAATTCGAGTCATTAAAGAATAACCTAAAAGACTTAGGCCGCAAACACGAGATTGTTATGTTTATATCGATCTTCATTTAGATACGGATGAACCACAGATAAGAAATTCCATTTTTTATAATAATAACGATAATAAGTTCAACAAAAAAATTAAGAAATAATTAGTAAACATATATAAAAACATATAAAAAAAATAAAAATATTAGTAAAACAAATTAAGCGAAAACTAATAAACATATGTATCCACTATAAATAAAAATACATGGAAATAAAAAAATGGAAATAAATAACAATTTAAATAGTTATTAAAAGGTCTCTTTATCATATCCCGTAAATAGTAAAACAGTAATCCGTTTTCCTGCTATAATAGTGTAGCAACACAAAGTGTACAAGCCTCATTAACGCTATTCTCGTTCCGCAGAGACCTTCGTTAAAACATCGCCTTAGATGCCAAGTCTCACACGCTTACCGTTATGCTATCTTATTTCTTGCAGTGGTCTAATCGATCACATTCTGGTCACTAGGCTATATTTTTCAGTTACGAACAGATCAGTTCCCGACTACTAGTATCTGGCATTAATATTATCGTGAAATTACCATCAGCGTTCCATGCTCCCTCTATTTGGTAGGAAGCTGTCGCCGTCCCGAAGAGGAAGTCATCGGGAAACCTGCGCTGCTGTTTAGTGCTCAAAGCTCCGCATCCCGCCAAACACAATCTGAAATAAAAAAAAGGATAGACATTAGAAAAAACGACAACGACACTAGCGACACTAACAACACGCGGACGAAGACGCGGGCGAAAAGCTAATAAACTAATAAAGTAATAAATTGATATTATTAAATACATTTATACGTCATTTAAAGATGTGAAAGTACGTCATCGCCTTCCGCCTCTCAGTGTTTGTCTGCCTGCATAACCTTAGGTTAGGTAAGATATTGATTTTTGAATTCATCAGATTCCACGTCTTAGAAATAAAAAGTAACTTACCCTATAGCTACTAACAGCTTCATAGTAACCGCTCCCCGCTTTCCTCGTATCGGAAAGTGTGATGGGGACTTATATAGTGCAAGATCAAACATTATCGGCAGCGCTTAAGATACTGACGACCACTTGGAGTTTATCTTGGACAGCCTGTCATTTGAATAAGTACGAAGGTTATTCAACAGCAAATATGTATGTAAATAACTTCAAGTAAAGAGAGTTTAACGGCGGCGCCGGTCGCAATACGAATGCAATTACCTTGTCTAGTACGTGTCTTGATTAAGTATTATAGATATATTCTGTCCCATAGTAAAATACACAGAACCTCTTTATTTTGCGTAAACATATCCCATGTAGTAATCTTCTAGACTTCTATAATCATTTCAAGGATTTTGTTTCAAAGTTTTTACTTAAATTTTATTGCAATAATCATACATTAAATCGGACTCTGACACGCAGTCAATACAACTACTATAGGCTGACGACTACTATTTTGATTTTATATGCAAATTGTCAAACGAACAGGTCACACAAATAGTTTTCCCGTGTGGGAATAGAAGCCGCGACCCCCGAAGGAGAAGCCAATACCTTGGCAACAGTGCCACAGAGTCCTGAAATTATATATTTCATTTGAGGACTCCGTAATTAAATATTAAATTAAGATACGAAATAAGTAATGTAAATCAGTTATGTAATGTTCTAACATTACATAATTTTCTCTAGAAAATGACAATACTAAGTATTCATTTCATTGTTTATTCTGAATGTCATTTTCGGAAAATTATTGATTATATTATACAAACTTAAAGAAGTATAATTATAGCATTTAGGGAGATAAAAACGAAAATCGTGTGATATACATACATGTAAAAAGTTATGCTTCTTTGCCATAATTAAGAAAACAACTTTGTGCATTAATAGAAATATTAAATGTGAAAGTAAATACAACAAAATAAAGTTTATACAATAAATCCTTGGAGATTATATTCTTATAATGGTGTAAGAAACACGCAAATAATACATTTTCACAAACGCTCGAAAAAATGTGATTTGTAAACTGCGAAGTAAAAAACACTCATTGCAGAATACGCCTTTTTTTTTTGTTGTAAACATCAGCATTAAGACTTACGTAATGCACACCATCCCACTCTATAATCCATGCAACATGAGATTTCATATCGCTCCTGCAGATTTAAAATCTTGTTTTAACAATTTGAAAAATAACTTGTGCACATATTTGAATAGCTTTGATTATCTGTGTTGAATAAAAACTCCCATGTGAATAAATATCTTATTTTTATTTCAATGTCAAAATCAAACGCAACATTTACAGAAAAAATTCTGAAGTGATTGTAAGCACAAAAGCGTCTTATGCTCGTGAGATTACGTACCACGTTTAAACATTGTCCATTCAATAAAAATATTTAAAAATGTATACATCCTATGTGATCGCCAGCTTTTTGTTATGACAACACAGATGCGTATTATAAAGTGCGGAAGACATTTAGTTAATAGTTAATAAATATCTAAACAAATAAATAAAATCTAAACATGTTTTGCTGGGTATAGGTCGCATAATAGAGGTCGTATATACTGGAACAGGTTTTGAATAGGTTTCTCCAGTCAGATAACAGCTACCGATCGAGCCGAGGTCCGGCCCTCTCGGGCACCCTCGAATCGGAATGCTAAACGCGCACTGAGTGACAGCCCAAGCCGAGGTCCCCTCTCGGGGACCCTTGAGCCTGATCACTCCATGGAGCGTCTGCCAAAGTGCCCTAAGAGCTTGGCGGCCTCCCAAACCGGTGAAATCAATAGCGTGACGGCCCGAGCCGAGGCTCTCCCGGGAGCCCTCGAGCTTAGTCACCATAACGCGTAATAATAATACGCGAGGTTCAGGCTAGGTGCCTCGAGCGCCCGGCCACCTCAAGTCCGTCGGATCTGTAAAGGCCCCTAAGGCCAACAGTGGCTCATCCAGCCCAAAAAAAAAAAACTAGGTTTCACTCAACACGTCACAGGCTTAAGTATCATAACAGAGTTAAAACCGTTACGTTTACCGTTACTTACCGTTTTCTATAAAAACTATATATATTTTTTTTTGTATTTGTGAAAATTTAACAAACTATCACGGTTCATGAGATACAGCCCGGTGACAGATGAACAGACAGACAGACAGCGGAGTCTTAGTAATAGGGTCCCGTTGTACCCTTTGGGCACGCAACGTTAAAACGCGTACCGAGTGCCTAGCTGCAACCGTACGGTGCGGATCTACGGCGCAGCCTTGCCTGAGAAGGACGCTTCGTTTTTTTTTTAATGTGTAAAATTGCCAAGCGAACAGGCGGTTCACCTGATGTTAAGTGAATACCGCCCATGGACATCTGCTACAACCGAGGGTTGCAGATATGTTGACAATCTTTTGAAGATTGGGCTCCGGCTACCTTACTCACCAGACGAAACGCGAAAGTATTTGTTATACACCCACTTTACGCTGGTCTCCTGTGAGGTCGAGGTACTTACCCGGACGAGCCTGCCCATTCGTGCAACAGCCGAGGGTACTGCGTGGCCACAGTCTTCGTGCCACCTATCCCAAAGCTCGCGCGGAACTTTTTACTACAACTAACTAGTTCTTGCTTATCGTCTCCGTGCGTATCTTTAACATTGCTTGCTCGAACACTAGTGTTTGTGATGGCGACGGTGTTGTCTAATCATCATTTTTGCCTGTTTGAATCCAATGCACAATGAAGCACGATCCTGAGCCACCTGCATCCATCGCACGCTTTTAAAGCAATTACCTGAATTTATACCTTTTTTAATATTACTCACAGTAAATGATTCGGTTGGAGTAATGATTTTGGTAAAGTGAATTGTAATTACATCAAGTCAAAGAAACAAAATTAGTTTGATCGTTGATGTTTTCATAAGTTATCACAAATATAAAGTTTTATATATTAGACCAATTTAACGGCCCAATTTATCCTCCCACATATTATGTGGGACGTTAAATTTCCGCCATATTATGGTCAGATGGTTCGGAGTGGTTTTTTTTTGGAAGATATCGCTCTTATTTACATTATTCTTCATTCGAATCGTCCAGCGAAATGCCCTGCCGTTAAATAGACATTTAAAATTCTCATATTACGAAAGAAAGAAAGATGTACATTTGCCTTTCTTTCAAGCCATGAAAGTGACCAGTGACCAGCCGATAAAATCAATGGAAATACAACGGATAAGTACAAATCAATTTGCGATAAATTTACTACACTAATATTATTTACTTCTACTACAAATTCTACAATTTCCCGAGAGATAATTTATATGGCAAAACGACGTTTGCCGGTTCAGCTAGTATACAATAAGAATGTGGTCTATGAAGAACGCGTTTATTAGATTTTTTTTATTCTCGTAAATCATGTACAAATGACCTGATTTTTTTTCAGTATTTACCGTGTCCATTCCGTGTAAAAATAACATTTCCGTTCACGTTTTCGTTTTTGCTCAAAAGTAGTGTAGTTGTTCAAAATCACTTTTTAAATATGTTATTTATACGCAAACATAAGTTTCTATTCTGTTTTACTAGCAAACTAACTTGACATAATATCACATAAAGAGATTTTAAAGCAGCAACGATATGAAATCTCTAAATACATTGAATGGATAAAACTGCGGGATTCTTTTTACTTACGTGCTGATATTTTCAACGTAAACAGGGTGTATTCTGCAATGAGTGAGTTTTTATTTCTTTATTCAAAACCTATTTTTTTCGCACATATAAGAACAATTTTTTTTGCGTATAACTTATAATGGAGGTTTTGTTTGCTGGCCAAGTTTTATTTTGTAGTTTTGATTTTGTTTATTGGTCATCGGCTACACCAAACGGCCGAGGGTTAGGGCGAAAGGGATAGTTGAAATAATAATAATAGATATTATTATTATTTGTTATCATTGAGTTCAAATAATAATAATAAATATTATTATCATTTGAACAGGAACAGAGATTAAACAAATTTTAAAAAGCTAAATACATAAATATTTATTCGAATCATTATTACTCACGTGCATTTTTTAGAGTTGCACTTTTTTCAGACACTTATGATCAAGTCAATACATTTATAAATGTAGTTTATAAATGTAAATAATTTTATATAACTTTATACACATTACTGCAGCTTAAGCGTACAATTGATGACTGACAATATCGTCCTCTCGAAAAATGGGTCGGTACACAATTGGTCAATTGAAATAGCGCGGGCTACCCCGACTTCCTGTTTCACACTTCCGTCCCCTTTGACAAAATATCTCCCACAGATTGCAGGAAGCGTAATAGGTTACACTTCAAAAATATTTTCTTTTGTTTACGCCAAAGAATAAGAACTTCTTAGGTGTTTGCCTAACATATGCGATAATTTTTCTAGTCATCATTATATTTATCTCCGTAAAAGTCTATAAAATTTGTAAAATATAATTAATTTTACGACACAATACCTACTTATTTTGATAAAATTATTTTACGGACCTTGGAGTCACGGTTTATTTCTGATATCTTGATAATATTCTTAATAATGGGTAGTAGCTAGTAGTATTTACCATTATGTGCCATGTACCATTTTAAAGAATTTTTAACCGACTTCAAAAGGAGGAGGTTCACAATTCGACTGTATTTTTTTTTAATGTTTCTTACTTCATAACCTTTGATTGAGTTTACCGATTTTGATGATTCTTTTTTTATTTGATAGCTGGTTTTTTCCATGTGGTCCCGTATTAATTTTATTGGTATTGGGTCTTGGGCTCCAGAGGTACTCAAGGAACTCCTGAAAATCTATAAATCGAATACAGAGCGAGGTATTTGGAGTAGGTTTTGTTTTTGCTTAGTAAAAAGATGGTTACAGAGACTTGCAGTATACTATGCCCACGAAACACTATACCCACACATAGTGCTAACATGCAATTAGTTCGTCCTCCTTAACGAGCACGGCGATACACCGTAATGGACACAGGACACACCCTTTTGCTCAGGACCGTTTTCACTGTTCAC